TCAAAGGTTTTATACTTGGAGTTTGGTCCTCTTGATAGTTGTTGGGGTGTTGCGGGTATGTACCACTAACAGGGCAACCGGGCGGAACGGTTTCCAGTTGAAGTATCAAGCTGCAGCCTATACTATGATGGTCCCAGGAGCTGTCCAGGAAGAACAGCTGGGTCCCCTTCCCTTGACATTGCCCGCCTGTCGGCTTTTTGGCCTTGTTGGGTTTCTTTGTTTTCGCTTAGCAAAATCACGCCACTTTTTGTGGTTTTCGCAAGGCTCGATAAACAGGCTACCCGTTTTTTCTTGCCCTAAATGGGATGTTCCCCCCGAGGTTATGGGACTTCCCATGCTCTTTTAGCTCACTTGCAAGCGAATCGTGTCAGTTTCCAGGTGCTCTGGGTAAGCTGAAATAGTCCGAGGGTCCAGTCGGGCTTAAATAGGGGACTTTTGTGTTGGTGTCCCTTCAACCCCAAAACGTGCGACCCTCCGAGATAGACTTTCCTTGCGCAAGCGACAGGACGGATGAGGAGATCATCCGCTCAAGCCTCCAGGAGATCGCCGAGCAAATGGCCGCCGGAAGCCCCGAGCGCGGATGGGAAGCACATGGGTGTTATTGTGTTGTTTGTTTGCTTGTTTGTTTGGTTGGTTGGTTGTTTGGTTGTTTGGTTGTTTGTTTGTTTGTTTGTTTGTTTGTTTGTTTGTTTGTTTGTTTGTTTGGTGTTTGTTTGTTTGTGTGTTCGTTTGTTTGTTTGTTTGTTTGTTTGTTTGTTTGTTTGTTTGTTTGGTTGTTTGTTTGTTTGATTGGTTGATTGTTTGTTTGTTTGTTTGTTTGTTTGTTTGTTTGTTTGTTTGGTTGGTTGGTTGGTTGGTTGGTTGGTTGGTTGGTTGGTTGGTTGGTTGGTTGGTTGGTTGGTTGGTTGGTTGGTTGGTTGGTTGGTTGGTTGTTTGGTTGTTTGGTTGTTTGGTTGTTTGTTTGTTTGTGTGTTTGTATGTTTGGTGTTTGTTTGATTGGTTGGTTGTTTGTTTGTGTGTTCGTTTGTTTGTTTGTTTGTTTGTTTGGTTGTTTGTTTGTTTGTTTGTTTGTTTCGTTGTTTGTTTGTTTGTTTGTTTGTTTGTTTGTTTGTTTGTTTGTTTGTTTGTTTGTTTGTTTGTTTGTTTATGTGTTTGTTTGTTTGTTTGTTTGTTTGTTTGTTTGTTTGTTTGTTTTGTTGGTTGGTTGGTTGGTTGGTTTGTTGGTTGGTTGGTTGGTTGGTTGGTTGGTTGGTTGGTTGGTTGGTTGGTTGGTTGGTTGGTTGGTTGGTTGGTTGTTTGTTTGTTTGTTTGTTTGTTTGTTTGTTTGTTTGTTTGTTTGTTTGCTTGTGTGTTTGTTTGGTGGGTTGGTTGTTTGTTTGTTTGTTTGTTTGTTTGTGCGTTTGTTTGGTTGGTTGTTTGATTGTTTGTTTGGTTGTTTGTTTGGTTGTTTGCTTGTTTGTTTGTTTGGTTGGTTGGTTGTTTGTTTGATTGCTTGTTTGTGTTTGTTTGTTTGTTTGTTTGTGTTTGTTTGTTTGTTTGTTTGTTTGTTTGTTTGGTTGTTTGTTTGTTTGCTTTTTGAGGGGGGGGGCTCTATTTGTTGAGACACCAAATTCGATTCACTGTTGGCAGTGCATGCCTTACACCAAAGGTTCACCTCTCTTGTCGAAAGCGAGTTTTCAGATTGTGATTCGGGTTTGCCAGTTTGGTCCATGTCAAGATCCCCCCCGTTGCCGTAGCCCCCCATAGCGGTGGCACTACGTGAGGCCAAGCTCCAGGAGTGCCGAGAGGCCGGCACCGAGCTCAAGGCCCTTGAGGAGGACTCAGAGCGCTCGGAGCGGAGGGGGGACGCGGGGTCGCAACGGGGCAAACCCCACCTCTCACAACTCAAACAAAAGACGATATGAGGATCGCCCAAAACCCCCCTATGTTTTTTTGTTTGTTTTGTAAGGGCTGAATGCGAAAGCATACGCGCTGTACTCTCATATCCTGGAATACTATTTGGCTCCCCCAGCATCCCCCAGGTAGGTGCCCTTTCTCACCCCTTGTTTGGTTGGGAGGGTTCCCCTACTAAAGTAGACTACAGAAAAAGGGTATACCCTTATTCTAACCTCTCTACTGGAGGACCTAGCTATGCACCTGGAACCTCAAACTCCCCAGAAAGAAAAGGACATGATCAAGCATTGTGCGGCATCCCGTGTTGAGGGTCCGGGTACCCACAACGGATGATACTGCAAACCCACCAGGCTGGTTGGGGATTTCCCTTTCTCACTGGTTTGAGGGATCGGTGAACACTCAAACCCTTAACTAGAAATTTATATAAAAAGTACAACAAGGACATATTTTAGATGATGAAACCCATTAAACAACGGTGGTTCTACCACACCATACGCACAATGACCAGGTGGTATCAACCGGGTTCTTGGCAGATGGTTGGGTATAAAGGGGGTGTAAACTCTACCTGGCGTATGGGGTGTACCGGTCTAGTTGGGCTTTTCTCACCCGATCACACGCCACGTTTGACCCCTTAGACCCCTTTTAACGCCCTTTGAGTCTTTATGGCGGTTGCCCACACCTAGATTTGTTTGCAACCAGGTGGTTTCAACCCTGGCTTTCGGTGCAGTGTTTTGTTTGGTCTTTTCGCCCATGGTGTTTTTTCAAAGCTAACTTCCAACGGAGTATCCGAAAACAAATCGGTGTGATGTATCGCTGAACCCTCTTTCCGCATGGATCGCGTGCACTCAAAGTCGCTTACCCTTTCGCCTTGTGGCCTTGTAGGAAGGGTTGGGCCAACCTCTTGTTGATGCCCCATACTCCAGATACCCGCATGTTTGTAACTCCTGACGAAAAGTTGATGCATTTTACATGGGGGAAAAAAACAGGCTTTGCCAAGCATACTCCAAAAGAAGAGGGTATTTGGAGCTTCTTCTTTCTTTTTTTTTGGGGGGGGCTAAGCCACCATTGTTAAATCCCCTTCTAGTTCCCTTTGCGGGGAACCACGGGCTGGTTTCAACCAATAGCCCTACCCCTGGCAGTGATGTTTTTCGAGGTAAAGATCAGCCGCAAAAAGCGAATCGAGCGGATCATGGATGTGACCTTTCGACTTTCCCTCCAACTTCAGTGGCCCCCAAAGGTGAATCCTGAAGTTTTTCAGGTGCTTTGGGAGCCGGACAAAACGAAGCAAAATACCTGCTTCCTTCTGACCTAGGGCTGCAAGTTATTTTTCCTCTTGTTGTGGAGGGATTGGCCCCTCGTAAATCGAACCCGGCGATTCCGGTTGCGAGGTCCGCAAATCCGAATGCCAATGTTGGTCGCAGCAAACGGCTTTGGGCCCCTTTGTTAGGTACCAAGTTGGAGGCCCCTTCGTGACAAACGAGCATAGGAAAGGCGGGTTTCGGCACAGCTTTGCGACTTGTTGCCGTGATTTGCCGCATTTGGGGACCCTTTCGTGAGAGAATTCGGTGGAGATTCATACTGAGATTCATGTCCACCCAGAATTGGCGTGGTTCCAACTCTTGTAGGCTGGAATCTAAGCCTTGGGACCTATCTTGGGGCTATTTTGGGCCCGCTATCTCCATGAACACGACAACAATTTGCTAGCCTCAGATGAATCAAAGGAGGGCCAGACCAATGAGGGGTGGGAAACACGTTGCAAAGCGAGCTTCGTCGTTGGGGGATCCTTCTGATTTGTATGGTCCTTTGAAACAAAGATGCAAGTGGACAGGACTGGTCAGAAGGGCTGTTTGCCAAAACAGGTTCCATGATTGTTGGAAAGCGTGTCACTTGAACCCCGGACAAACAACCCCTTGGTTGACTGATAGGGGGAGTCCCGTTTAAGAGGAGATCCGGATCACTTTCGCGGGAAGCACCTCTCTATGAATCCGCCAGGTTGATTCATCCGGTGGTCAACATGGCCTTAAAAACATGGCCCAAGCTGTGCAACTTGGATGCCGGCCGCAGCAAGTTCCGGCACAAGACGCTGGACGGAATCATTCAGGTCTCAGCGCAGATTAACATTCCAGAATTGAATGAGGATAGATGATGAATCCTGAGTTGTGCAACAACAAATATAGAACACACCAACCAAAAAGGGAAAGAACAAGCCTTTCCGTTTCCCGAGAACTTCGGGTCGGTCCCATTGCATCGGCGACAGCCAAACTCTTGAGCCTCCGTTTCTACGCCCCTTGGCGGGGGGCATGGGACAGGGTCCAGTCAAAACTGCCCAGGCCTGGTGAGACATGCCACATGTCCTGTTTTTGGGCTCAAAGGCGATTCAGCCCAGTGTTCTTCCTGTTCATTTTTTTGTTGGAGGCCGTCGTTTAAGTGGAACATGTTATTAAGTTGTTTCTTACAAAGGGGGTGCCCCTTTTGACAACAACGCCCAAACTCGGTACACCTTCTTTTTTCTGTCGTGGCAACTGGTGGTCTGATGGCAAGCTGCAAATGGTTCGAACATTTGGGACAAAAAGGGGAAGCAGATCAGTCAACGGGGAGTCGAAGATACCAAAAAAAAAGACATATTCAGGATCTGGTTTGCGCACGTTCCATTGAGGTGCATTGATCGTCCCATTTTTAGAAAAGGATACGCCCCCTTTAGTGGATGTTTGAACCTCTTTGTAGTTTGTACCATGTGATATGGTTAGGAAAACCAAAAGGAACGAACACGTACATGTAGGACAGCCAAAAGAAACAAAGTCGCGTCATCGAGGATTGATGCAGCCTGACAGGGACACTCTTAGGGGAAACCGAGAAGAAACTAAGTCCCGTGCAATTTCCACGACTCTTTGTGCACGGCTTTTGAGGGAGAGGTCACGGCCGACAACCAACACTAAACCACCACTCAACCCACCCTAACTCCCAACAAAACCATCAAGAAACCTTGAAGCCACCACTTAACCCACTTCTCAAACCCACCAAAAACCCCTCCCACCCCTTTACCACCACTAAACCCACCAAACCAGCCCCATCCGCATCCCTCGTTTCCCCTTTTCAGCCCAGGCGCCATGTCCATCAAGCTGCGGGAGCTGATCCGTTCCATCCGCGCCAGCAAGACGGCGGCGGAGGAGCGCGCCGTGGTGGCCCGGGAGTGCGCGCTGATCCGCACCGCCTTCAAGGCGCGCGACGATCGCTCGACTCGGTCGACTCGGTGGATTTTCGGAGTCGGAGTCGTCGGAGTCGTCGGAGTCACTCACGCGCATTCGCTGTTTCCGGGCACAGGGACCGACCAAAATGGGGGAGATGGGTAAAACCGGGTTGTTGGGAAACGTTTTACTACATGTTTGCTATCAACAACTGGTTTAGTGGTTTGGTGGTTGAAAAATGTAAACACCTAAGATTTTTCTAAACAACTAAACATGTAAACACCTAACATGTCTACATTTTACTGAACAACTAGCATTTACATTTTGGCTTATTGTGGTTTAGTGGTTGAAATTTCACTGAACTGCTAAGATTTGAATTTTGCTCCCCTTCCAACGTCAACCAAGCTCGGTCGATCGGAGTCGGAGTCGGAGTCTCGCTCGCTCGCTCTCGGCACAGGGACCGACCAAAATGGGGGAGATGGAGAAAAATGGGGGGGGGGGAGGTTGATGAATATTCCATTTAGGACCGCGAAATGAGCATGGGTAGCTTTTCCTCTCTGGTGAAAGTCATTATTTTTGTGTTTTCCTAATGGTCACCCCACGTAAAGCACCTTTCGATCAAGCTCCATGTGTGTCTAGCCCTAAAAGCTGGGGTTCCTGGTCTGACGGAAGCCAGGTTCCCTCATCTTTCGACTAGCATGTGCTTTGGGTTTTTGTTGGTTGGTTTACCGGGGGCAATAGCCACACGTATATACTTGGACCTTGCCGCATGGCAGGATCAAGTACCTAGAGCAGACTGGGCGTCAGATTGCTCCAAATTCAGAGAGTGTGTAGAGCCCTAGCCACACGGTGGTGTTGTGGAATCCCTGTCTCCAAAAGCCACATCCAAAGAGCCTCGGACACAGAGACCCGCACTTGGCAGGAGGATGACAATCAGTTCAGGCACCGGAATGTGGCGAAGCTCCTCTTCATCCACATGATGCTCGCCCCAACTGGGGTCTCCTCCAAAACTTGTACATTTTAAGGCCCCTGACCCTTGAACTGCCCTCCAAACAAATGCTACCGTCCACCAATCATGTGATTTCCACATGTCAAGGGTAGTTTGAGGGTCAGGTAGATTGAATATCAATCACAATCAGAACATATGTGTTTCTGTGTATCCCAGATGTGGGCCAAGCGAGTGCCTTTTGGAGAGAAGGACACGGATGCCCAAAGGTTGGCCCAGTGTTTGCCAATTACAATATAGAATCCCCTTGTCCCGCACATATCCTCCCACACATCATCGGATTTCCTCCAACCGGGTCTTCCTACTATGACTCTGCATGTTCTTTGCATGTTTTCTGCATGTTCTTTACGTGTTTGTAGTCTTTGAGTCTGTTTGTTCTGTTCCTTTTCCGGTGGGCGGCAAGAATCAAAGAAGTTGTTTGCGAGCAAATGCCGAGTTTGGAAAGACGATGCCCCTTCCGGTTGAATGGCTTTTCCGGGCGACTCCCATGGGCAGACACCCAGTGGTTCCTGTTTTTTTCCAACCACCCGTTTGGATTGGAAAGTAAGGTTCTCAATGGATCTCAAGTGAGAATGGATTTCAACATCCAGCTTTGGTTTGCCGCTAAAAAGAAACTGAGCTTCCCTTTTTAAATGTTTTAAGAAGAGACACGCAAAGATCCAACAAAAACATATAGGGAGATTGTAGGGAGACTTTAGGGCGACGTTCTCAGGATATAAGCTTCAAAGAACGACATTTGATGATGATTCAAGGGGCAGGACATGTATGAGGAACCCTGTTTGGCTCATTGACCATGCCTCAAGGATGCCGTCGCTGAGGCCATTTGTTTGGTGCTCTGGGGATCTTCGGTTGTCCAAAATAATCGGCGGTGACATTTTGTTTGCGGGGGGGAGGAACAATCAATTTGTTTAGAGGTGGGAAGAAATCACCTTTCCGGGTAAAAAAAAGGGGAGCACCCCGGTGCAGAAGGACGCATTGTAGCATCCTTTCCGCTTCACAGAACTCGGAACTTGCTCGTTTCTTGAGGCCATGATATGTCGCCGTGTCTTCGAGGCTACCCCGTTGTTTGCGATGTTTAAGAGAAGCCAGAAGGACACCGCAGGCTTTTTTGCCGGGGGTTTGATCAAAGCGACACACCAACATGTGTGTTTTTGTTGTTTGTGTTAAATGTCTTCATAAGGCCTTGTAGGTTGGCGCAAAGCCGGGCGGTATGGAGGAAGCCAAGAAGTAAACCAGATGGGGGTTCCCCTTTTTGAGCACAGCCCCACATAAGGACCCATCCTAGGACTGCCCTTGTTGATTTTAAACAGGGGACCGAAACTGTTTGCATGTCCGTTTTTGTTCATCGTTAGTGGGGCTGCAAAAGGCAGTCAGTTACCCCATGGATGTTGCCATGGTTTTGTCATGTAGTGTGAGGGACTCCAAGACTCTCAGGATGGGATATCCCACCCACTTCGGGCAGATGGAATGCTTGAAGCTGATCGCTTCCAACAAGTTCCCGGAGAAGCGCGTGGGCTATTTGGGCCTCACCCAGCTGCTAGATGAGAACACCGAGGCCCCGGATGCGCTAGAAACTGCACATGGCCTCGTCCTTTGGGTGCTTTTAAAGGGAACCCAACAGGAAAGCACACACCTCACTGTGCGAACTGCATGTTCTTTTAGAGTCGTGTAGTTGTTTGGTTCTGTTCATTGTTAGTGGGTACCGTGCTGCCATTTGCTTAAGAATGTGTTTTCGCTTTCCCTGTTGAGTTGATAATCTATCATCGCAGGAAATATGTTGGATTTTCCTCCATCGGACTTAAGAAAGTGGAAGCACACCACGCTTTGGCAATCCCTGAGGTGCTGATGTTGGTGACGAACTCCGTCAAGAACGACATGAACCACGACAACCAGTACGTGACGCTCACTCCAACCATTTTTTTCGCGGGACTTACCTTCCAACATTTCATGGTGCACAGGTGTTTGTTTCCGGGAAAAGAGCAATCATTTAATGGCAAACACAGTATATGTAATATGTCATAGTATTTTGTTAAAGTCTGTGCACGTCCATGTAGTTGTCACGTTTTGGGGCCTGCATCCGTTGGCCCAGTTTTGACTTCCTACTCCAAACGCACGCTTGTTTAGGGTATTTGGAAGACAATCTGTTTTTTTCTTCTGTAAATGTTTTGTTTTTTCAGTGAGGGTTGGTATTGTATTTTTTAGCAAGAGGGCATTCGGAGGAGGTTGACTTGTTTGGCGTTCAAGCAGATCGCCAGGGTTGCACCTGTAGTACTCAAAGCCGAAGCTCATTTTCAACCAATAGGTTCCTAGGAGTTTCACTGCCAGACCAAAGATTTATCTTTGTAAACTGCTTGCCTGGTTCATCCTTCTCCCTCACCCGCAAAATGTAGCCCACTTTTAGGGAGCCGCTTTAGGGATGCGTTTCATGAGCCCAGGTTTGTGGTTGGTAACCCAAGCATGCTCATTGAGTCAGGGGGTGGATATGTTTGGAGTAAGGCAAAGGACTTAGAAACGGCAAGGTTGACATTACGCACTTTGAAAGGGACCTAAACCAACACTAGGAACGGGAAGTGTGGATGGAAACCAAAGAAAACGGTTCGCGCAATGTCTGCCAATTCTTAGGAACTCTTCGAAGCAATGGTTCACCCTTGGCGACTGAACATCGAAACGCCAAATCGGAAAACCGGAAGTCCGAGATCAATTCAATTCTCTACGAAAGACGATAAATTGGAGTTGTCTCCAAATTCTGGGACCCAATTGTGAGTTTCCTGTTGTTTTTTCTTGAAAACTCACCCAAAGGGAGCTCCCCAAACAAAAACACACCCATGTCCAGAAGACCCAACTAAAGAAAACAAAGAAACACACAAGAAAACACAAACTGCGACAAGTGGAGCTTTTGCAGGGACCACGCGGATTTTGTCTTTGCAACTCTAACCTCAACTAAAGTGGGGATTTGGAGCTTTCGGGGGTACCACTGAGGAACGGCTTGGCCCTTTGCGCACTAGGAGACAATCGCTTCGAATCGCTCGCTCGGTCGTATGGTTGTTTGAGGTTAGATGTTAGATGGAGATAGAAGTTATAGTTAATTAGTTGAGGGCCCTCCAATAATTGTCCTGGCGCGATTTTATCGCTGTAGGGTCTGGGTAGCTTATACGAAACTGAAGCCGCACCCCAAGCGGATCGCCTTGCAATAGGAGCTTCAGAGACTTGGAAACATGTATGGAGCTTTACCGTTCTAATGGCATGTTTCCTTTCTTTCAGTTTTCGGTTCTGTCCATGCTTGAGTGCCTTAGAAAAGTGTCTTTGGCAAATCATACCTTTTGGTTTGGGCAGGCTTGAAATTGTTTTGTCGAGTAGCCCCCTTCTCACAGCTCCAACTTAAGATTTCCTTTTGGCTAAAGGCAATGGGCACAGGGTGGAGTTCTCAGGGTGGGGTTTGGAGGGATCCTCGGATCAAAGTGCTGGTTGCTTAACAGGGGTTCCTTTTCAGCTGGGATTTATCTCCTTTGGAGGGAACACACCCACTATATAATAGGATGGGCTTGCCAATCTGGAGTCAACAATAAATCATAAATCAACCGCAGCCGGGAGCAGTGACCGGAGCTGAGCTGGTATCCAAAGATTGCTTAAGACGGAGCCTTTGGGAGCTACCAGCTCAAGGACAACGTGCTAAAAAGTGGCCCTGGATTTGGAATTTCAGTCCCAAAAACACGGTGTGTCTTAAAATAGGAGAGGCCAACGGAAAATTCCTTTGTGTGCCATTTCAAAACCACTCCGAGCCTCAAGAAAAGCGGCCACATCCCGCCATAGAAGACGCCGGGTTGCTGATGGGCCAGCGGCGTCATTGGCGGCATTCAATTAAAAGCGGCTTTCGCGAGTTGATTCTGAGCTCCCATTGGGTCACCCCACAACCACCGACAGCCCCTCCTTTTGACAACAACCACATTCTTACAGGTTGTTATAGTCTAAACTTGGCTGCCATGTTGGACCTGTAGACTTCGACTTTTTTGGGAGAATATGTGTTTCCCACCAACTTGGCAAACAACACTTTTTGGGCAGGGGACAATGGCCATTATGTAAATCATCCACTGGTCCGAAGCCCAACCTCAGGTACATGTCATAGCTTTGCGTTTGGTGTTCCGGAAACCCAAGGTGGTTGTTAGTTCCCACCCCCAAACCGCAGGAGAAACATGATAAACACCCCTTACGTTATATTGGATCTTGTTTGACTCCTATGACTAGTGCTGTGTACCCCTGAGTGGACTGTTTTGTTTTTGCTTTTTGACTTTAAGCACATGTGGGTAGCTGTGGTTTGGTGTTCAGTAGTGGAAACCGTTTGAGATGCTCGAGATCAATCGACCAGAGATTGGATTCGTCCGCAGGAAACATCGGAAGCAACGAAATGTGCCGAGCGCTGGCGAGGGAGGTGGAGAACTTGATGTCCTCCGGCAACCCGCCGCTGGGCCGAAGCTTAGGTTCCAACTGCTAGGAGATTCAAAGCCCCCTGAACAGTGCCAGACTTAGCTTACCTTTTTGCTTGTTTGTCTATTTTGGGTTCCACCACGTTCCCTGAGCAATTGTCTCTTCTTCTTTTTTTGCATGAAGCTCTCTCAGGTGGAAACGAACCCCGCAAGACCTTACTTACAGCGTAATCCGGGACATTTCTGGATTCTCATCGGAGCCCCTGGTGTTACATGTTCCTCGGGGAGTCCTCAAGCTCTGCATGAAGCTCTCACTGGAGCTCTCCATACCGGGGGTTCGTATCAACGAAATGATCGGAAGTGGCCCGACACGAATGCTCCACCCTCCCCGCCCCCAGTATGCCGGGAGCCAGGCCGGACTACAATGGGAATAATTCAGGTTGTAGTCGCCTTTTAGTGGAGACCAAGCCGGGTTTGAATTGCTTGGGATCGCGGGGAATTGGATCCACTTTGAGTGTTGGAGGCTTCAACTTGTTGGCCACCCTGGTTACAATCCACAAGGGTGAACTCCGCTCGGGGAACAAGTGTGTTAGAACCTGGGACTTGTAAGTCAATGTTGACCCCGTATGAATACACTGGGGTTGATTAATATGGGGTGAACATGACCCCATTATCCATGGTAGCCGACAAAATCCAGGTTACCTACAACTTGCCCCGAAGGTACGTGAGGAAGAAGGCGGCGCTTTGCGCCATGCGAATCGTGCGGAAGGTGGACGAGATCGAAGACAAGCTGCCGGGCAGCGGGATTTTTGGTCCAGCGTCCCAGACCTCCACGGGTGTGCCTTCTAATTTTAGGGGATAGGGACCCCAAAATGGCGGACAAGCTTTCCTGGTGGTTTCCCTTAAAAAGCCCATGCAAAAAGGGGTACTCTCAACAAAGAAACCACACCCGTGCTCTTAAGTTGTTTAAGTCTTTGGTTCTCTTCACGTTTAGTGGGCTGTACTTGCAGCCACATGCCAAGGGTTGGAGGTTGCCTCAGTACTGTGCCCGACACCCACCCTTCTCATTTCATTTCTGGTGGGTATCACTTCAAGCATCGTGTGTCCTTTCTGGAAATCCACTCGAACCGACCTGGTGTTAATTGTCGTATTGAAACAAGGCACGTGGTTCCTAGGAGCGTCCCCCCTTTGAGGTGAATCAAAAGGGAAATGAGAAGGAAAACAACTTTGGAGGGGGTCACATTTAGTTTACATTCAAAACACAAGTTTGGACTTTTGTTGACCAGTTCATCAGGAAACGAGCGAGATCCAGAGTTGACAGTTCATCAGGAAACCAGCAAGATCCAGAATTGAAAGGAGCCGTGGAGATAGGTGTTTGTGTACAAGGTCTTCAACAAAAGCTGTGCTGGCATTGAGTTCTTGTTGTATCAGGGGGGTCCGCATTTATTAATTCTTGGTGTTGCTTCAGATTGATTCAGAAGACCACTCTCCCAAGCCAAGGCTTTCTTAGGACAAATGCCTTGGGCATTGACTCTCGTGTCCGCTTGGGTTGCTATTGACAACGGGAAGCGAAAGCAAAGTCCCAACCAGAACTCCGTGCGGATTCTGAAGCTTCTTAGTTCTTTACATTGATGATTGACAATTTTAATATCAGCGCTTTGCTTGTGAACGCTTGCCGAAAACGTAACGGAAAGCCTTGCAGCGTTTGAATAATCAGGGAAACCCGTGGGAACTGCTGTTTTTTTTTTGATTCCCGGGGGATTCCAATCGTTTTTTTTGGCTTGGACCGTTTGGTTTCTTTTGTTGGGTCTGCTTTTTTTAAGGTCCCAAAAACTTTAGCCTGAGAGTTACCAAATCCTCTTCAGAGCTTCAAAGTTTCGGTCAAGGCCTGTGTCATCCATTTGTTAAGAACACAAACCCCTTTCTCCGCCCAAAGACGTCCATCCATACATGTGTCCCTTTGGTCCCCCTTTGGAACGGTGGACAGGTTACGGTTCCTTAAACTCATATTGCCTAACACCTATGCGGATTCGTTTCCCTTTGGTCCCCCTTAACCCTTAAAACGGTGGCAAGCTTGTGGTTGTTCACTAATGTTGCCCAACACCTATGTTGAATCGCTTGCCCTTTTCACCTTGGTTTAAAGGGGAACCAATGATTGCGCAAGCGCATATTTGGTTTCACTGCTGTTGGCGTGTGTGTGTGTTTGAAGAATCGCAAACAAATTGTTTGGTTCTGTTCATGTTTCGTGGGTGGCTGCAACATAGACATCAAACAGCGTGAGCAAGCATCAAATTAGGTCAACAAATTAAACCGTGTTCTGTGCTGCTCGCCCACCGTTTGTATGTGGTCAAACGGTTCGCGACTCGCCGGACATCAGGTTCAACGGGAAGATTGGGCAGCTGTTGGAAGACCGGAACCACGGAGTCCTCTTAGCGGGCTGCTCCTTGCTTACCACTGTCCTAGAGGCCCGGTTTGGATTCGGGGGTCGAAATTGGGCGTCGGTCTTTTTGTTGCGCGTAGATTAAAGGAACCCCCACCAATTTTGGGGGAGGCGGTGAGGGATATCGTCCACAAAAGGTTGGGTGCTTCCTGAAGCCAAAAGACACCTGGCCATTTTGGGGGGTTCCACTTCCATTTTTTTCAGGGTTCGTTGAATGTTGGTTTAGCCTTTTATTCTTTTGTTCTGTTTATTGTTTTGTGGGCGGGTGCAAACAGCAGAACCAGTTGTTTGCAAGTCCATACCGTCGGGTTTGGGAAGATCGATCCCTAATCCTGTCAAAGAAACTGTGGAACATCAGTCCATACATGGTCCAGCGGTTCATTCCCAAAACCTCTCAAATTATGTCCTCAGACCCAACACGAAAAACACCCCTTGGAAAATGTTTGGAGAAAGTCACCAAAGATTCGGGAAACCATGGCCCCTTCAAGAGAGAGTTGCTCGTCAGCTGGTAGTGAATCACACAACGCCCATTTCAAGACAAGTATTGGTTCGCGTTGTTTGGTTGTCTCTTTTCACTAGCGAACCATTCTTGTTGCCCGACAATGCTGACCAAGTCGATCGAATGAGAGCAACATCCCCCCTAGAAATGGAATTGGGAATCGCGAGTGACTCCTGCAGACTCCGTGTACAGTTCCGAGTTTCCCGCAGTTTCAATCGGATCCAATTATCTTGGTGGCTTCCAGCCATCCCCTTAGCTTTTTAACCTTTTAGTGGTTAGTGGTAGTTTCCATTTAACCCATTAACAGTTGAACTTTTAGCGGGGGACCTGAGGGCAGCTCAGTTATAGTTGCATAATTAGTAATTCCATTCATAGCTCCATATGGAAAACACCAGGCTCGAAACAACTCGTCGCTTTGAGGTAGCGGGGATGGACAGGAAGCTATCTCTCGGTGTCCAGGTGAACCCTTCCTACGTCAAGGAGTTCCGTCGCTACATTCCGCCCCTGGTGCGGGCGCTGAGGACGGGGATGCACTCATTAGCGAGCTCACTGGCAAAACGAGCTCATGTTGACAGATCCCTTGCTTGGGGTCTCTTTGTGGTCTCCTTGTTTAAAGGTCCCTTTCTGGTTTTCCTGGGTATCCCTTAGTGGTTCCCTTTGTGGTTTCAATTGTCCAAAGCCAAAGCTTTGACCCGTCGACTTTCAACGTCAAGGTCCCGAAAGGTGCCTGGTGCTTTCGTTGCCCGCCGATAGGCCCTTGGGCCCAAAACTCGACACAGGTAGTGAGCTGGATGCTTTGCTTGGTGCGAAATCGGTAGGGATGGAGAGATGGAATGAACCTGGGCTTTGGTCCCCGAGGAAACCACCAGCAAGGGATGGTTTGTTCGGGATCCTTCCATTTTTAATTCCCTGCTTATCGCACCAGCAATTTGTCACATCGTTTGTTGTAGATTGCAATATGGTTTCATCCTTGGGGAGGGGGGGGGGCGTTTCCCCGCGAAAGGTCACTAAGGCCAAGCTCCACATTGCAGGGAAATCTGCGGGAGCCTGAGTGGTTGTGTTTTTTTTGTTTTAGCGTTCAGGTTGTGTGTTCTTCTTCCGGCCCCATGCTTCAATCCCCATTCAAATAGCGATTGACCTATTGAAACTCAGGTCAGCAATGGTTGTTATATCAACACCCATTCTGTTACTTCACTGTTCTTTGTACGTTGTTTTAGTTGTTGAGTTGTTGTGGCTCCTGTTCCTTGGTCGAGGGCCAACCAGCAAATTAAAAACAAGCCAGCGGCGTGTTAGTTTGCCTGAGATGCCCATGTTTCCTTGGACAAATCTCCGGGCTTTCAAATGCTTCTTCTTTTCACTTGGTCGACCTCAAAACCCCCCCCAAAAAAGAGGGGGGGTGCATCGCAATGTCCCCAGGTTTCGTGGCTTCATCCCTGGAAAAAGAAAAACAAAGAAGTCCCGTTTTTCTCTTGGAGGAGATCAACGGGAAAAAACTGTTTTTTCTGCTGGAGGCTCGGGGAATGGATCGTTCGAAAATTTGAAGCGCGAGGAACATGGTGACCTCTGGCTACAGCAGCGCTGCGGAGTACGACGTCGCGGGCATCACGGACCCCTTCCTGCAGGAGATCCACCGATCGATCGATCGATCCGATCCGACGCGTTGTTTTTTTTCTTCACAGAAACCACACACACGCACGCAAGCATGCACACACCCACACCCGCCCACCCAGCCACCACCCACGCACAGCATATCAAGCCCTGAAGGGACCCTGGTTCTAAGATGGGAGTTTTTGTTCATTCCTGCGAGTCGATCGATAGGTCGACAAGGGTCGCGGCCACTTGGAATGGCTGGTTGGTGGAAGAACGGCTTGACCAAGAACAAAACCAGATTCTACAGGTGCTTAGTCAAAGCTCGGCAGCTGGTTGATTGAATCTTCAGACTTTAACTCTTGGGAGCATGGTTGTTCCCTGGAACCTGCAGGTAGTGTTTGGGCTCGGACCTTCCCGCGGTTGGACTGATAATTCGTCCGACTCGAACTGTGCCATGACATGCATTCGGTTGCGCGGTGCCAAACAGTAGTTTGACACGAGGTGGCCTTTGGAGAAGGAACTGTCCATAGGTACGGGCTGAATTGCTTTTGCAAACAACAGTGCGTTCACCAAGTGTCTGGTGCAGGTGCAATTTTGCGAGCCGATGTTGCTTGAGGGGCGATCCGGATGTTGCTGCAACTGCAAGCCAACCCCAAGATGTTTATACAATGCTGACCATTTTTGCTGAGTCCCTTGATGCTGAGTTACCTCATTTCCTCTCGCGCTACTTCTGCTTTGATGAGCCAGCAAGACATGGTTTGAGTGCTCTTCCACGTTCATCATGTGCGGAAGACTGATTTCAATCGCGATGTGGATAGCAATGATCAAGTCGAAGTGGTTAATTGCTTTGCGACCAGATTACAGGCCGGCTGCAAACTGAGTTGTCCAAAGCCGACCCGAAACTATTCCCTCTAAATGAAGATGGGGCCCAAAAGTGCGATTCCCAAGAGGAGATTCCTCTACAAACCGGTGTTTCTTCGGGTTCCTTCCGTAAACCAGAAGACTCCACTGTCTGGTTGTCTCCAAGTCCTTTAGGCAACTTATACGGGAACAAAGTCCAGTTATATCCAGAGTTATAACCTATGCTGACGTTGCTAGAACATCCAAGTTGAGCAAGTCAGCCAGAAAAAGCGCGCTTTATAGAGGAAGCTCCTTTTTGGGAGACCCCTTTTTTTCACTTTTGTAGGGTCCTGTGGGCGAGGCCAGACAAAATTCTAGGGGTGCCTTCCCCATTTTTTTCCAAAGATCCTTTTTTCTAGAAAACCTTCGGAATCCCAGCGAAAGCGGCTGGTTTTTGAAAAGAACGATGGTTGAAAGGAATGGGGAATCAACCCCTAGAAAAATTGTGCTGCCTAGCTAGGGCAGCTCGCTGGCCTCGCCAGGCGAAGATCTTGCGGCTGCTCCGCATCCTCGGGGAGCGCTCCGTGGATGCCAGCGACGAGATGAACGACATCCTCGCGCAGGCGCGGCGCCCGGCTCGGGGCCTCTGGGAACCCCTGGAATTTGCAAACAGAGAGATAGGTAGAAACATACGCAGGTAGATAGATAGATCGACTGATAGAGAGGAGATATAGATAGAACGATAGATCTATAGATATATAGATAGACCGAAAGATAAAGATAGATATAAAGATAAACAAGAGAGAGAGAGAGAGAGAGAGGGGTAGGTAGATAGAGATATGGAAAGATGGAGAAACAAAGAGATAGAGAGACAGACCGATTAGATTGGATTAGGTTAGATTAACTAGATTAGAAGTCATGGATAGACCGATTAGATTGGCTTGATACACAGGATCGATAGATAGGTATAGATAGACGGACAAATAAATTTATTAGAGTCGGTTCGACTAGGTTAGATTAGATTAGGTAGTGGGTAAGCAGGGGCGCACGCACAACGTTAGCTTTGGGCAGTTTGTTGGTGGCTTTTTCTGGTCTTTCATGGTTTCCGGTTGGACGTATCAGGAACCCTGGAACCCGAAATCCTGGCAAGTGAAGGGTTGCTGAATCAGGGACCAAACCAGTCCAGGGGCCAGCCTTTTGGACTCACTGCCTGACCTCATGTGCTTTAGCCATTTTAGGCTTGGACAATTCTAGTGGCAAGCAGCTTGGACTGCCCATTGGACTGCCTTGGCCACTCAGGAAGTGAAAAACCAGGCAGTGTCTTAGCACGGGCATCCGCCCCTTGGATCATTTCTTTGGCTGCACTACGATCTGTCGACTTTCACTCTCCTGAAAAATGGATTATGTTCGCACCAAAGAGAAACCATTTTGCCGGATCCAGGCATCCAGTGTTTACCGCCAAGGCAGACTCAAACCTTGCAGGTTCTCAGGGAAGGCAGTCCCGCCAGCTGCCGGCTCGAGTGAGTGCGCCTGTCGGTTCCGAATCGAAGGTGGCGACCAACACGGAGGGCACCAAGAGCCTTGCCGTTATTTTTATTTTGCTGATGACAAGCGGAGCTGTCCCGCATCCAGTCGCACCCAAAGGGTTTCCTATGGGATAGGCGGAGGTTCCGGGACTGCAGACACCACCATGTTATTGCGTGTGTGTGTGTGGGGGGTGATGTGGGGTGATTTTTGGTGGTTGTGTACCTACCAAAAGGTTGGCCTTTGCCACCAAAAGAATACTGTGAGAAGGTTGCTACCTCGTTCGCAAGCCCAAGCCGCCAATCAACACCAAGGCCCACTTCACGTTTCCCCCAAAAGGAACCCCCGTACTCTCACAGGCTGATTGTACGCACCCATACACTAACCCATGGCTATTTGGGACCGGTTCCACTTTGAGGTCACCTTTTCTGGTTTGGCAGTAAGACATCCAACAGGAAAGCCCATCCATTTTGGTCCAAAGCAAACATACAAATAGAACCTTGTGGGCCCAACCCAAAAGGCCGTCTACACAGTGTGTTTCCTTGGCATCCATGTTACGGGCCCAGGAACACGGGGAACTCCATCCTCTACGAGTGCGTGCTGACCATCATGTCCATCGAGGCGGAGAGTGGCTTACGGGTGCTTGGGGTGAACATCCTGGGCCGGTTCCTGCTGAGCCGCGCCCCTTGGCCTTTGAGGCGTGTCTCGTGTCGTGTCGTTTTTTGGGGGTTGCTTTCAGCATCCTTGGCGGGGCTTCGAACCAGTATTTTGAGACAGCGCATATTTTTGGCACTGGCCGTGAAGTACGCAGAAGCTGTTTCTATATATATACATATAAATAGAAGAGTGTTTTATGGATACTTATATCTTGAAGATGCGGCTTCAGGCCCCAAACACCCTTCCAGAGGCCAATGGTAGGGGCTCAGCAGATCTTGATGATTGTTTTGCATGACCAGTTTGTCGCTGGTTCCTTAAACTATGACCAATGGCCAGTGGCGCAACTTCCCGTATTTGCAGGGAAAGCAAAAAGACAGCAGCCATGAAAAGCCAAACAAGCGAACAGAATTGGAAAGGACACAAACTCGGCATCTATGAATCTTCTAACCCAGCCAAAGTCATGAGAGCACACCCCGTCCAAAACCACCTAAGAAGAGCCCTTGTGCCGTAGGGTGCCCGTAGGTTTTTCCTTTACAGCCGTAGACCAAGCGCAGCTCGTGCCCAAGGACAACAACATCCGATATGTAGCCCTCGCGACTCTGCAGCGCATGGTGAACGTGGATCAGCAGGTCGGATCTCCCAGATATGTTTGTGCGGATGTGTTTGTTTCTGTTACTGGCGAGCTCAAATTGGGATAAAACGAGCTCACCATGATGAGTGTTCTTTAGGTTTTGAACTTTTTGTACAATCACAGAACGCGACTTTCAGGTCGATAAATATAGGGTCAAGTAGTGGGGGGGGTATTTGAACATTTGCCAGGAGTTCAAGCTGGTTAGTAGCACCCATTTGCTATCAGATTGGCTTCATAGGGATTCATCCAGCCGGTTGACTCTGGCCTGAAAGTAGGGGGGATTTGTGGGATGCGGCAAATCCAATTCAACCATGATCATAGCCGCATTTCATCGAAATGATTGAGCCCCTCGTATTCCCTTTTCTGACCCGTGTGTGTGTGTGTGTGGGGGGGGGGCACCCCCTTAGACGTTTGGATGTTTGTTTAGCAAGGGATCAGCAAACGACTAGAATTAGGTTGCTCTTCTTTGTCAGGATTCACGGTGTAGGTGTTTGAGAACAGGCCTAAACACATTGCCCAAACATGCTAGAACAAATGAACAAACACTGAGACACCATCGGCATCTAAACAGCCCATATGTTGATTTTCACAAAATGAAGCCCAAGAATCTCTATTCCTGGGGCAGGCTCAGTCTGACAATTAGATGCACCCTTGAAAAAGCCACAGCAGCTAGTGTTTGAAAGCCCCGCCAGGAAACAGCAACTACCCTGTCATACCCTGCAATTTTGATTCCTTGGAGGTTTGGATTGGTGGTTTGCATTTGGAGTCGAACAGGTCATGCAGAGACATCGAAACACCATCATCGAGTGCCTCAAGGATGCGGACATCTCAATTCGCAGCTCGGACCCGGACCGCCGGTGCGTTTTTGGTTCTCATTTGGTTGAGGTGTCCGTTGACATGTACCAAAAACGGGGTATGAACATTACTGGCAGTTTAGGAGACGCAAATTTTGGTTTTGAAGTACCCCCCCCACCGCAGGACCTGAAAGTTCGCTGGATTCCCTTCCGTCCTGAAGTTTCCAGGTGCGACTGCTGAGGGATCCTCAGATGGGCGTAAACCCTGGTTTGGTAGCAAATTGAACAGGAAGCTCGCCAAGGATCTTTGTGTGGGTACTTGGCTCACGTCCTCAAATTTCTATAGGGGACTTGGAAGGTCTAGAATTGGAGTCTAGAAAAGGATTAGAAGGGAGGGGGCCAAGGATCTCGTCCGCTAGGGGGTCTTTTTCATTAGGACCTGGTCCATGGTCTTCGTGACTTTCATAGTGACTTCCTGGTGTATTTAAGTTTGCTGCACCGGGTGCTTGCCATTGGGCTGGCTATCGTTTGTTCACCCGCGCCGCAAGTTGGGGTAGCAAGGCCCCTACAACGTTCATGTTAGATCTGATCTCGGATCCGAGTCTTCACTCAGGAAAGCGGGCGCTCGATGTGACCTACTCCCTAGTGGATGATGCGAACATCAAGAGCATGACAAAGGACAGGGTTCCCTATATTTCGGCTTGATTTGTATAATCATCACTTGTTGAGCCCACCTGAAGTGAGTTTTCTTCAATTGGGTAATGTTTAAGGCTATCTGAAAGACTTACTGAAGTTGTTACTCACTTCCAAGCAGTTTGTTTACCACCAGAATGTTCTACCGAAGCAAACAAAGAGTTCAGACCTTTGTGGGCCAAGTCACATTGGAAGTGAGGTTCATGGATACGCCCACCGGAAGATTGACCGACTTGCCAGCAGCTATGGTGCATTGCTATTTAGGACCTAGCCTCCCACCCAAAACGGACCGGCTGAATGGTTGCCGAATTGCAAATTTGAATCCCTAGGCAAACCCAACTGCACATATCTCTATATATATACACATGTATATAGAGTTTTATGTATAGGCACAATATCCATCTATGTAGTTGTATAGTATATACATATAGTTAGAGGCACATAGTCCCAGCCCAAAAGTGGCGGCGATTTCCGTAGGAGCTGCTGAACTATTTGCTGGTGGCCGAACCCGAGTTCAAGGAGGAGCTTTGCTCCAAGATCTGCATGGCAGTCCCTCGGCCGATTCGGTTTTCTTCGCCAAAGGACCAGGCAGCTGCAGTCTAGGTCCCCCAGTAGTGCCCTTTCACCCTTTTTGGGGGAGGGTTCCCCTAGCAAAATAGACTACAGAAAAACAAAGTACCCTTATTCTAACCTCTTTACTGGAGGACCTGGCAGTTGTTGGTCGCTTGGCTTCTCTTTTGCTCTCAACCCGAGTTCCTAACTTCACACTCTTTGAGAAGATGATGTCACTTCGGTAAGTTCAACGAGTTTGGACTTGTTGCTCAATCCACTCGGGAAGCGAGTCTTTGCCCGAAAGGCGTAGCAACTCAAACAAATGCCTTGGCAATTCGTATGGCTTGGTTTGAGGAAGTGCCCCGCAGTGCACAGGAAGGGAATCCCCTAGGAAAGTATAAGGGGTGGTTCACATCACCTCCATGGGATCGCGAAAATCGGCTGAAGAGGATTACCCGTGGAGAGGTTGGTTCAAAGGCGACCAAAAGGAAACACACAATTTTGTTGGGTACCCCTATTTGTTGAGATTTCAGTCCGATTCGGGAAATTGTGTAGTAACTCGCGAAAGGAGAAGACCCCACCCCTACAAACAACATGTAGAAAGCGCCTGATCATGATTCTGGGAATTTGGGGTTCCCCAATTCCCTCAGGGCCTGCAAACATCGCCTCTGGGATTGGGAACCTTTGGGTTTGGGGAAAGTGGCGCTGGGTGGTACTCTGCACCCAACCACTCCCTAATTAGTCCTTTTCCTCTATCCTGGAAACCCAGCCGCAGCTGTTCCTGAACCAGTGTGCTTCTTGAGGATACTCTTTTTAAAGTTGGCTTTTAAGGGAAACCAAGAGGATAATCAGAATTTGTTGGTTCCCCCACATTTTGACACTCCCCGTTTTGGGGCATCGGAGTCAGGTGGAGAAGTTCTCGCCCTCGCGGCGCTGGCAGATCGATACGCTCATCAAGGCGGGGCGTGATCTGAGCAACCAAATTTGGATCTGGCTGTGGTCAAAACCGTTTTGGGATCCAATTTTGGGGGTTTTCGGTGCACCACCTTTGGGGTAGGTGAATTCACCACCCAATTTTTAGAACCTATTTTAGTGCTTGGATTGGGGTTGTCACCGGGGGTACGATTTGGCTTTTGACTCATGGCCATCCGAGAGCGGAGCTGGGTGTCTCCTTCTTCGGGGTTACTTCCATTGCTTCATTTGCTTGCATCTGCCTCGAAACCCATGAAGGTTGCTTGCATTTGCTTCAGACTATGTGGTCTCAAAACCCAGGTAGATGAAGGTTACTTGCATTTGCTTCAGACTATGTCTTCTTTCTTCTTCCTGTTGGTTTTTAAAGGGAAGCTATCACTGGACATATGTTTTTTGTTCTTCCCCAGGGGACTCAAGCAAATGGATGATAAAAGACGTGATCACCTTCTGAGTTTCTGGGTCCGTTGAGCAAACGGTTTGACCTCGGAACTTGCTGGCTCAAGGGTTTGACGCAAGAATGAAGCCCTGGTGTTGTTCAGCTTTTCCCATGTGAGAGTTTCATCCTTCACTTTTCGGAGGAAGTTCCTATTGATCCACCAGGTTTTAATTTCCCGGGGCTGAATAAAATCGAAGATTATTTTCCCATGGTCAGGACTTGATTTATATAGCTTTATGGAACCTCAAACTCCTATTTTATTAATTTAGCCCCTTATAATGTTTCAAACCAGGGTCGGCATTAAGATAGTGATTCAACCTCTGGGCGAATTCATTTGGGACTTGAACAGAAAGAACCTCCTTTTGGCCCCCCTGCCGCTTTTGGGTTCCTTCCGTGAATTTGCAGGGGAGCGTTTACAAACATGGGCCATGCTCAAAACTCCTTTTCTTTTGTCTCCTTTTGTCTGCCTCCTGTCCGGCTCGGCCATTGGCGGAACCGGCCGAGAAGAACAGAGCCCACTTACCAAGCGGTGCGTCCTCCCTACTAGGGCGGACCACAGCTAGAGTATACATCCGAATCGCTCAGATGCGCCCTTCATATGGCACAGCCCTGTGCTAAGAGCCTACAAGCAACTGCGGCCAATGCCAACTGCACAGTCAACGCCCAAGCACTAGCTAGTGTACAGGCCCAGCCGAGTGGCATTCCTGACTCCAGCCGCTGCTCACACAGCAATCTCCTTTAACCATTGCGGCCGTAGAAAGTTTGCGCGGCACCAAGCAGTTGACCGCTAGGAAAAATGGAAGCAAGCCTGTGCACAATGTCCGGATTCACTAAAGGACAAAGAGGGTCCCCGTAGCAAACCTCCCATCATTCAAAGATCGCTGCCAATGTGGAGGCACCACCACTCTCCCAATATCCCACTTGCTGAAGCGAACGCTCGACACGGTTGCACCATGCATGGTTGCGCCGCCAGAACAGTCACCAAGGCAGCTCCCAACCATAAGCACCATTGGCTAAAGGCACCACTCACAATGGCTTGCTGAACCATGGTGTCACTGACATCACCTGCAGCCCTCTCAGCAGTGCTATTCAAGGTAAAGTTGCGAAGGAACGACTCCTGAATCCCGTTGTACACACTCTCATGCCATCCAGCTAGGCCTGAGCCCTTGCCTGAACAGAACGCAACGGCGGTATGAATGTCCAGACCAGTTTGGGGCCCAACCAGAGCTCTGGCTATCCACAAACAAGGTCCGGCAGGTAGTGGTCCACAACCTTGCCCAGCAGGTAGGGGTCAACGACCGCCAGCCCTGGAGGAACCGCCTCCACCCACCGGTTTTCAGCTCCTGTGCAGAGCTCCACCACGGATTCCAAAACAGAAGCCATGGGCGATCGAAAGATTGGCTCCGCCCAACTGGAAGGGTCTTTGAGCCAGTGGCCTGGGCAGTCTTGCGTCTGTCCGACCAAGAGGGTTTGTCCAGGACTGTGATTTCCCTTAGACCGATTACTTGTCCTTTTGGTGTCCGTTTTAAGTCTTACCAATAGCGGTTCCATAAGCTTACATGGTGTTGGGGAGGGGCGTCCTATATATATATATATACACGCATACATTGATTTTCAATACGGGACCCTTTGGCATCAGTGCGGTCGGGATTCGAGTCCACCAACCACCTGGGAGCTGGTTTCCTATGGTGTCCCACTGTAATAATGGCCATGTGTCTATATATATATATATACATACACATGTACACGGTAGGACCCACCCAGGACAAAGGTTATATGTGTACATATATATATATATGTATTAATGCACACACACACAAGCACTCCAAATACCCAGATTTTAATTTGAAAGCCTTGTCTTTCATGGTAACCACCTCTTTGTTTAGTTGGGGATTGACATTATGCCCTCGGAGTATGGGATATACATACAATCATTTTGTACACATATAGTCATTTAGCGAGTTATAGTAGTTTGCCCACCTGTACATAAAATTGTATATAGGCCAAAAAGCACGGAAACACGTGCCGGCCGGGTTTGCAGGTCATGTGCCTCGGCGGGAACTTCGTCAAGGAGGGGAGGTAAGTTTCTCCACCCTCCAAGTTGTTCGTTCAAATGTTGACCAGGCAATGTTGAGTTGACACACCCATGGTTTTCCTGGTTTTTCTGGTTTTCATTTTAGATGGCTCACTTCCTGGACTTGTGGTCAATTTTGTGGTTTGGACAATTCTGGCAAACAGAAAGTTTGGCGACTTTGGCCAGTCCACGGAAGTGAACCTAGGACCTATTGTTGACCCCGTATGAATCAACCCCTGTTTTTATCAATAGGGGGGCGGGGGCCCTCCAAAAGTGGTCTGATTCCCCTCGACAGTACCAGCTTCATCACTTTCGGAGGGGATTCAGAAGGAGGAATCACTGTTGCAGGAATCACTTTCTGCAAGTGTGGGTAAACCGGCATGATCATGCAGTGGATTGCGTCCGCTGTGGACTTCAGCGGGTCGCTTTCAGCCACCATCGAGAAAATTGGATGATTTTGAGGAAGTGAACAAAGCTTCCGAACACCCCACAATCACTGGACCCAGGTGTTGAGAGTTTAGCAGGATTCCCCACAGTTTCCCTTTAAACATAGCCTTGTCGGCCAAGTTGAAGTGAGTTTCCTTGGGTTCTTTTTGGTTTTACGGGGGAAATATCGGGAGCCCAACGCGTAACGCGTAGCCCGGGGGCGGCCAACAAAAAGCCCCGGAGAGAGGAGCCGCAGAGGGAGAAGTTCTGTCGTGTGGTGGCGGCCACTCCGGAGCTGCACTCGTACACGGTGATCAAGCTCTACTTCAACATGAAGGATCCCGCAGACAAGCAAACAAGCAGGGATACCGGGGGAGCAGGGATGTAGGCATGGGGTAGTATTTGGACATTATTTGGACACATCAGACCAACACCCAGTTGTCTCGTACTCTTCTTTCATTTTTTTGGGGGAAGGGTTCCCCTTCAAGGATCCCTTAGACAAGCAAACCAGCAGCGATAGCAGGGGAAGCAGGGATGTGGGCATGTTTGTGGGGTTATTTTTAGGCATGGTATCCTTTACAAAAAAGGATGCCCTTTTTTTCCAATGGCCGCTGGGCATCTGAGAAGAAAGGGAAGCAGAAATATGTCCACATTTTCTCGGGTAATATTGAGACATGTGTCCTTTACGGGGAATCCTCGCACGTTCCTGCTTTTCCAGTATCCCCGCGAATTTTGGTTTTCCCAATTCTGAAAATCTTCACTCGAACTGCAAGTGGGTTTGTCTCACTGTTTTGACAGTAGCCTTCTCAGGTTTGAAGGTAAACCAAAAGGAAAGCCACCAAGTTGGCGGGTACCCCTTTGAGACACACCCAAGTTCCTTGGTTCTGAAACTTGCTGACTCTTGTCATATTTAGTGGCTGAACACACACACACACACAAAGGTTCATGTTGCTCAATTGCTGTCATCCAAAGCCAACCCCAGAGCCGGGCTGGTGAGTTGGTTCCTCTGGTTTTCTTCTCAGCCAGATTGTTGCAACGGAGTTCAGCTCCTCTCGGAAAGGGTGGTTTGGAGCTTAATGGTTGGTTTTCCATGTAGCCTTTGCATGGGGTTCAGACCCCGAAACCACAAATCCCTTTTTGTTGTTTTTAAGGGTTCACCGATCGAGCTGTTGTTTGGTTTTGTTTTGTTTGTCCGTGAGTTGAAGAGCTTTGCTTCAACATACAGGATCTCCGTTGGAGTTCTGACCTCCTTTCCAAGAACAACAAAAGAGCTGTTTTGTTTACTTTTTTGTGTTGTGTTCTTGGGGGGGTCCCTGCTGTTTCTGTTTGGCTTGGTTGCTTTTGTTATGAATTGAAGAACTCCACCTCAACATGAAGGACACCACTTGGTTATGACCGCAAAAGTGTGGCCTCCTTGGCCCATCTCGCGGCCTTTCGGAAACACATGGAATGGCTTTCCCAACAAAATCGGGCTACCCCGCCCCCCATGTTGGTAGTGGGCTTGGTTTTGCGGATTTGAACCCCAGTACCTTTTGAAACCAAATGCGGAAGGTATCCTAAGGCCCAAACCACCAAATCGGGGGCAAGATGAACTATGCCAACAACATGTCTATTGACCTGATTGCCGGCTTCCGGGGGTCAGAGGGAGCAACCCAGCCTCTACGATTGAGCCTTTCGACAGGAGAGCCTAACACAAGTAGGTTAGAGCTGGTTACAAGGGGACTACGTCCAGTTTCCTCAGCGATATGGCCATGGGTCAAAAGCCCGTACCCCCAGTGAACATCCCAATCCCCACTAAAATGGGTTCTAAAATGGGTGGTGAATTCACCTACCGCAAAATGGTATCCCATTGGTTTTGACAACCACATCCATATCCATGGTTCTGATCTAAGCTGGTTGAGCATCCCAGCGAGCCCAGGAGAGCCTGACGCAAGAGGCCTTGGTGCATGTAGGCGTGTGGTGCCTCGGTGAGTTCGGGGACCACTTGGTCTCCGGCAGAGCCTCGGCGATTTCGATTTTGCGCAGGCGGATTTGGCGAGGTCCCCCAGCTAGGTGCCCGTTCTCACCCCTTTTTTGTTTTGGGGAGGGTTCCCCATGGACTACAGAAAAAGAGGGTACCCTTATTCTATCCTCTCTACTTGGGGGCCTAGTTGGGTTTTGGCATGCTTCACAGTTCGAACTGCATGGTATTTAGCCAACACAGTGATTCCAGGGTCCCGACAGATGGCCAATGAACCCCGGATGGTTCTTCTCCGTCCGGTGTTCCCTCCAAAAGGGAAGAGGATCCCGACTAAAAGGATATTAGTCACTCAGAGTTTTATTTATCCAGGCTTAACATGAATTGCTTGCTGTTAGTTACACTAGGTAGCGGGAATGAACCGCCTCAGCATTCAGGAACACAACAACACATGAAGCACACAGATCAAGCAAGACTCTGTATGGGAACTAAGAACAAACAAGCTAAGGTTGCTGGCATTCAAACAGGAACTCTGCACCCACGCCCCTCCACAACCCAAGAAATGATTTTAGAGCCTTCTCAGAAGTGGTCTTAAAAAGGTCTCAGGGCGTAGAACCATTCCGGTGGATATGGAGGCCCTATTGATTGGCCTTACAAATGGCGAAAACTTGAAGTTTTGGTACTTCCCTCCTTTGCAGCTGTTATCATACCCATGAAAAGGAGGGTATTTGGAGTGGGTGGTCGTCTCACGTTTTGCGGGTGCAAGTCCGCTTGGCCCGAGGAGCAGTTGGCCCGGACGACCAGCCCATCCATGTGACCGCCGGGGACGTCTTGGACTTGCTGCATGATGTGGCGCCTTCGGTTCGAGAGCCTGGAGGTCGCTTCCTTGTGCATTTTTTTTGAGGGGCTCCTGGCTCTCGATTCGCACAGCAACAACACTATTTCCTCATGACCGCTGGCCTTAGCTGTTCATCTCACAGCGGTTGTGAAGTACTCGTCCAGACCAGTTGTATTGTGGAGGGCTCTGTTGGACGGAATCGTGGTGAGACATTGCTTTGCAACCCTCCGCCTACTATTGGTAGCTGACGGATCACGGAGACTCCAGATATGCTTTTTAATTCCCCTGGCAATCCAGTGTCCGCTTGAAATAACGTCCAGTCAGCGTTCATGTTAGTGAGATGGATTGATTCTTTAAGTTAGTTGCCTTAGTTATGTTAGTTAGTGGTTGATTCAGCTTTCATGCTAGTTATTTTTGATGCATTAGTCATTCTTTCTTCTGCTCTCAACAAGGGTTCTCCGAGCCCCGGAAGGGGGGGTGAGGGGGGGGGGGTTGGCTGGCTGTAACCACAGTGACTTCATGGGACGGATGTCCAACTCCGACGAAGCCACTTGGCCTCCGTGGAAGACTTCCCTTTTTGGGATGTTTCCATGTTGGCTACACGGTTCTTGGATCCATTGCCCTCCAAAAGGATGATCAAGTCGCAGCATAAAGGTGGTATCATCATTGTTTGTTGGCATTCTTGTTTAGTTGTATTTGGCTGGTTCTGTTCGTTGTTTGTGGGGCTGTTGCTACCATACCAAGAAATTGGGAAGTTGCGGATCACTTTTTGGGCGCACTCATTTAGCATAATGGGTTCACCCCCTTGCAAAGATGGCTAGGATCAATCACACTTGATGTTTTTGTTGTCATTGTTTTTGCTGGAGGGAAGGCTAGGAACACTTTGAAGAGTCAATTTTAACAGGATTAAAGCGAACTCACCTCGTGGCAAGATGAGTGATTTTCTCGATTATTCAAGGTAACTTGAGCTTTGAGGGGATGGGTGTGGTTGTCTCTCTCTTTTTTTGCGAGGCCGTTTTTGGGATGGCTTCAACGAGACAAAGGGGTTCACCACCTATTTGAGTTCCAAGTCTTTTGAGACAAACCTCTAATATCCCACCCTGTGTTTGTTGCTATTGTGACAAACAAACAGAATCGCTGCCATCCGCAAAAAATGCAACAGCTCCCCCAAAGAGCTTCCCTTAGTTGGCGTATTGCTGGTTCTCATTCGGGAAGCATATCAGGGGGTACCGGAACGAGCCGGTTGTTGTATCTCCCCTTGAAACCAACCCAAAAAGAACATACCCTTCAAACACACATATATATATATATTACACATATGTACATGTAGTATCTTTTTTTATTTACATATATATATATATATCATATACACATATATATAGATCTATTTGGCCTCCAAGGAAAGGCCCAGTTCCTTTGATCGCTGGTTGCGCGCTTTTTGCACCGCGAGGTGCGGAAGCCCCCGTGCGCGGAGAAGGCCCCCGCCACGCACTGCCTGGTCTCCGCGGCCGCTCGGCTTCGGCTTCGGGTTTTCGCTGGGTATGCAAGGAAACCACCAGGGGAAACACCAGGGAAACCACCAGGGGAAACCGGCTGGGTCTTCAAGGAAACCACCTGAAAAAACACAATTTTGCTTGGGTGTCAAGGGAACCCGCCAGGGGAACCACCATTTTTGGATGGGTTTAAAGGAACACCAGCCAAAAGACCACCATGCTGGGTCCATTTGAGCGGTTTTTCTGTAACTAGCAGACTCCAACTTGAACTGGGGTTCTACACTGCCGGGCTGCTTATTTGTGTCATTTTTTGAGGGTACCACCATTTGTCGGTTTTAAAGGGAAACCACCAAGGAAAACAACCATTTTGGGAGCACGTAAAAAGCCAGCCCCCTTCCTTGTTGAGAGGCCTTTGGATGTGCCAAACGGCCTTTGAATGAACCAACAACATTGGGCATTGGGCGCCGTTCCGTTTCGACCCGTTCTAATATAGGGGGCTAAGTGATCACCTTTGAAGTCGAGAAGCACACACAATATATACTATGGGGTCGCGTAGAAGTGGTTTCATTTTGATTGCGTCTGAAAGGGTGAGTTGGGCTCGTATCATTTGGAGTCGGCTTTCATTTTCGTGGACCCAGCGAGAGGGTTAGGGGGGGGGGGGGGCTGGGGCTGCTGGGGCTGGGGGCTGCTGGCGTTCCTCAAAGATGTGCCGGGTACACTGGTTCAGAGGGGTTTGAAAAAACCTCGTGTTTCCCATGAGTGGTTATGCGGTTGCAGGAGCGAAAGGCTCGGTTTGTTTGTTTGTTTGTTTGCGTGTTCAACAGGTAGAAGATTGGCACAACCCTGATATCCTTCCCTGCTGCTTCACTTTGGATTTGGGGGCACGATCCTTTTAGTGGTAACCCAAACGTATCATGTTGTTTTTGTTGCTCTGGCAAATCCACTCCCGATGTTTGTACCCTTGACGGATTTTCTCCTGCAAACTCGCCCAAAACCACGAGAAGTGCCAGGTTTCGCAATCGCCGAAGAGTCCATGTGCCAAAATGCAGTGATAAGACGCTCCCTGCTTTCCCGTTGCAACTGGAGTTGGGGGGATGACTTAGTTATTTCCAAAAGGAGGCGAACTCACCATGGCTGCATTTACGTGTCCAGGTGTGGGTAAGTTAAGATGTATCTTGTTGCTTAAAAAAGTACGTGTTCATAGTGATGTTCTTGGTTCATGGACTGCACATCCACTTGTATGCCATCATCAAGCAAAGGCCGATTCGAGTGGGCTCAAGGCGCACTGGTGGTTTTCAATAGCTTCCATCACTTTGGAAGAAGCCTGGAACCCTTCTGAAGGTTCGAATGTCCATGGGGGGGAGTGTGCGCTTCTTGCTGCTGGAATTAGCAGCGTTTGGTGTTTTTTTCATGTTGATGGCTTGCCTCTAACAGTATCGTGTTTGTTGTGGTTTCTGCAATCAAGAGCTTGGAAATGGAATTGGGTCCACTTTTCATCCTCGCTGTGTCGCAAAGTCATTGTGATAGAACGTTCAATTCCCATAAGTTTGCGTTGACGAGTCTGCCCTTGAGTTCTTTGCTTATTGGACTCTGTTTCCTTTTAAACATTTGACAATCACACCTTGATTCGCTTCCCATTGCACTAGATGATGGTTTTCCAAGGAGAAACGGTGCAAGCCCCTTCAAACCATCCCCGCACACTTGGATGTTTTTGTTTGACTTCCTCACATTTCTCGCATTTACGCTGTTTGTGCTGGTCTCAAAACACTGCAAATAGTGGGCGCCCAGTTAGATGGCCAGTAGGGATGCCCCAAAAGAAGAACAAACACCCGTTTGTTCGCAAGCTGCCGGAGAATAGGGTGCAGTTGCGCGGCTGAGGCCCTGATCAAGCTGGTCACCCGCTGCCCAAGCGAGTTCGATCGCGCCTAGGCTTTGTGTTGCGTCAATGCCCTCGGGCGGGGTGGGCGTTTCCAACTTCGTGGTTGGCACGGTGTTTCCTTCCCCAACTAAAAGCTATGGGGGCATAACACCCCAGATCGGCTCGAGAAGGGGTGGTTTGGGGCAGCTTTCAGGGAGGGTTTCCGGGCATGCCGGGGCAGTTGAGGATACCACCTTGGCTTGTGAGTTATCAGTTGTTTGGATCTGTCCATTGTTAGTGGGGGGGGGCTGAACAAAAACAGGGTTCTTTTCCTCACACGCCCAGGGTTGGCAAGATGAGCATGATGTCTCGCTGGCATGCTTTGTATGCAATGGGTGTTTTTTTGTTGCCCATTTCAACCCAAAAGTAAGCTGCCTCATGCGTCACCAAGCAGGAATGTGTTTGTTTCAGGATACTCCCTGGCTAGCTTTGTGCCGTGATTTTCGGCTCTTTGGACCTGTTGGGAAACACATGACATGACTTTTCAATTAAACTATATTAAAGCTGCAAAAGATTGGTGGAGGAAACAAGAAGGACAGGGGGCTTGGGGAGAGCACCAAATCGCCTCGACGTTGCTCAAAGTGGGCGACTCCCATATATGGTGGGTGTCCATTCGGTTTCAGGTGCAAACCATGCAAACAAAAGGGCGCAGCCGCCTTTTAGACAAAGCCAAATTGCGTCACTCGCCTAGTTCTTGTTTTAAGCTGTGTTGAAAGGAAGCAGAAGGAAGTCCGTTTTCTTTGGGCTTGCTACTAAAGATGGAAACCGACCAAACAGAATCCCCTCTCCGGACTCTGGAAACGTATCACCTGCAAGCCCCTCCAATTTCCATCCTTTGGGTGTGAAGTCGACCCCTGACTAAAAACGAGAATATAAAATAAGTAGCAACAAGGACACCTATGCTCATGTAACATCGCGTCAGAGGTGCTTGGCTATGATTGGAATCCTCACCCAGTGATTCAGGCAAGCCACTACATGTACAAATGCAATACACATATATATATATATACATAGGTGACCTTTTCGTATTTTTATCTCAGGGTTTTATCAAGCGTGGTTCCCCTGGTTACGAGTTGGTGGCGAAACGCCGAGAGCGCTGGGCTTGGGTTGAGCTTTGACTAACACAATGATCCCATTTCCCCTGCATAGTAGGGTGGTGAACTTGGACAAAGCTATGGGTGTGGGTGTGTCTTTTCTTAGGGAACCCGTTTTTGGGTTGTTTAAAGGGAGTCACAAGGGACACTACTATTTTAGCGGACCCTCAGAAAAACACGCATACATATTATGGTCTAAATATGTAACATCAGCGTACTAGTTGTCCCCAGAATTGATTTGTCAACCTTCAAGTACAGCTTGGCAAAACAACTCTTTACTCGAGGGATGCTTTACTCGCTCCCCTTGACAACAGACAAAAAGTAAGGATTCTGGTAAGAGAACCATGAGCATTGTAGTGCTTTCAGGCGTTCTGCCACTAGGTAGTGAGGGGCAAACTGCATGGTACAACCCTGAGATAGAACATACCGCATGAATTGCCTAATATAGTGCTAACTGGAAGCACTGCAGGATACTGTGGATGGACACCGCCTAAAAAACACCCCTGGAATGATGATTCCCCTGTAAATGCCAACAAACAATGGTTTCCCATGAATTCAACATGGTGCAGGATTCGGTCCATCCACTGTATGTTTGACAACTCCCCAACTTGCGAGGGCTCGAGCCCGTTCTTTTCTCCGGTGGCCGAGGCATCCGCAAGCTGCTGCGCCGCTTTGACGGGTCTCTGCACGTGGATTTGCAGCAGCGGAGCTGCGAGTTCCTGGCGCCTCGCTTTGGGAACTTGGGCCCTACGCACCAGTCTGATGAACCAAGCTGGGAAGCTCATGATCTGATGTTCAAGTTCGTTTGGCACTGGTGCCGGTTTGTCCCAAGCCCTTCGGGAACAGCCTGGTTGTGCATTCTCTTGGCTGATGGTGTGGAAACGGGCGGTGTTTTCTTTTGAGAACTGGGGGGGCGATCCTCGCAATGATGGTTTTCCTGGTTTTTTTTTGAACCTCTGTGCTTTTTGAGGGTACTCTTTTGAGAGTCGGCTTTTCACGAAAGCTAGCTTTAGCTAGCTGAAGTTTCTCCTTGCGTAAGCAAGGTAAGGGGCTCAAATGCTGAAAGATTGATTTTTTCAATTATTTGAGCCGAAAAGATTGAAAAACATCAATCATTTAGACCCCCCCCCCCCCCCTCGATCGATTCCTCCCTGGTCCATCCCCCCCCCCCGGGCAGTGGCTCAGTGTTCAGCAGTCTCGGTTTGCCCGTTTTGGACTTGGTGCTACGAACTTTTACATGTTCCACCGATTCAGCTTGTTCATTTGAGACCTCAGTCTTCTCGGTAAACCACCTCGCAAGAATCTTTGCACACGCAGCATGCAGAACCCAGAGGTGCTTTAAGACAGCTTCTGACGCCTCTCGTTGTTTTCATTTTTCAAGGTTTGCCACGCCACCATGTGCGTTCGCGTGTCGCATCCTACGAATCTTGCCGGGCCTCTCGTTGTACACAAGCTACCTCTGAATCCACTCTGTCACCGACCCATCTCATGCAACAACTGCTAGCTTTCGTTCACCCGCTCCTCAAGTAAGAGAAACCAGAGGAGAATCACAGTTTATTGGTTTGCCCTTATTTTGACACATACTCAGATATTATTTTTTGGCGGAGCTTTCAGCCAGCAGCAAAACGTAAAGCAGTCCCTGGTTTTGTGGAAGATTCCGCCTTTGTCGTTTTCTGGCTGCGGCTCGCGTTTGTGTTTGTTCGGTGTTTCTTCGTAAAGCTGAAAAGTTGTTCAAAAGAAGTCAACGGCTTTCCGAGGGTTGTTGAACATGTCGTACCACTCCAACTACCACGTTTGCTATGTGTTCTCTCGTGGCAAATACACATACATGCACATTTGATATATCATGTATATATGGTCCCGTGTTCCGTGTTGCTACCCCCCCCCCCCCCCCATATGGTATGGTCCCCCAGGACCCCCCCCCCCGGCCCGAGACCCCGAGCCCCCGGATCCTGGCACCTACGGTCCCACCCCCACCCCGACCCCCTGAACTCGCACCCCGACACCCCGGCACCCCCACCCCCAGGACAAGCCAACCCGCAACCAACCATAAACCAACCCTAAACTAACCCTAAACCAACCCTAAATACACCCTAAACCAAACCCTAAACCGTAGACCTCTAAACCTAAACCAACCCTAAATCAACATAAACCAACCCTAAACTAACCCTAAACCAACCCTAAACTAACCCCAAATACACCCTAAACCAATCCCTAAACAATAAACCCTAAACCTAAACCAACCCTAAATACACCCTAAACAAACCCTAAACCAAACCCTAAACCGTACACCTCTAAACCTAAACCAACCCTAAACCAACCCTAAATCAACATAAATCAACCTAAATCAACCCTGAACCAACCCTAAACTAACCCTAAATACACCCTAAATATACCCTAAACCAATTCTAAACCAACCCTAAACCACCACAACCCAACCACAGGACCACAACCACAGGGGGGGGGGGGGGGGTACTTGTCTGACCCATGACCATTGGGGGGGGAGGGGGGGGGGGGGCTGGCAACGCTGTACCATATATATATATATATATACACATTCTTCTTTAGTGTGGGATCGACATCATAGGCTTGCTTACGAGCATTTGGAAAGCGGGGTTGCTTTTTTTGAAGCCGTTTTTTGTCAAAAAGCGGTGTTGTGTTTGGATCGTTACACCGCACAATGCAGAACCACCAGGCTCAGTAGTATCCTCTTCGGTCCGAAGTCCAAAAGGTACACATGTGGATAGGAATGTTTCGCACTGTGCAGAAGATCTTTGTTCTTTTGGATGTGGTAGCGGTCGGCTGGTTGTTTTTGTGTGGTTTCTTGCTCTTTGTCATTTTTGGATGCTACGTGTTCTCGTCTTTGTCGTTGCTTATTGTATTTGTTGCTCCGCGTGTTGGATTGCTTGTGTCCGGTTTTCTGGCGCCGAGACTTTCCGAAATCTGGCGCACTGGTTGTGTCGAGGAGAAGTCCCGCGCGGCCCGACGCAAGTTGGAATCCTTTGGTTATCAGGTCTGTGATGCGCTTAGATGTCCTGGGCTGCACGCGTGGTACACTGATGCGCTCAACGAGTTTTTGATCTTGCCCGAAATGGCTGGGTAATCTTTTCAAAATCCATCGTGATGGGGATAGATCATTGCTGGTGCGATAAGTAGGGAATGAGGGAATGAACCTAGGGATTCCCTGAAAAAGGAAACCACCAGTTGGATGCTATTTCTGGGGGTCATTCCGTTTCTCATTCCCTGCTGAGCACCAGCAAGGTTATTCTGAGCTTGTGGGGTCAAAATATATTTGATCACGCTGGCACACTGTCATAGTATCTACCTATTTTATGACGAGCTTCTTTGGCAAGCTCGTCATGATGTACTGTAGGTGCTGCACTTGGGGATCCAATTCTTATTTCTTTGTGAACCGTGCAGGTCCAGGGGGGAAATAGTTTTGTAACATCTTTGTAACTTGCGCAACATGTAACACCATGTCAAAAACAGTTCAAGATCCAGCGGCTCCCAGTGACATACTATAGTTCCTTTTCCGAACCAAACGCAAATCGATCCGCGCCGTGCGCGCTGCACGCGAGCTTTTTCACGTGCTGAACGAACCCCGGCACGCTTGGGGACCTCCACGGTGCCATCAGTCACGTTCTCGCCGGCAATGATCGCCAACTGCCGGCTTTATGCGGTACACTGCACTCTCGTCACGCTTCCGGCAGACCCCACAGCCAATCCTCACTCCCTCGCGGTCAGACAACTAAACAAACCCCAAGCCCAGGGAAGCACAGTTGCGTGTGTGTGTGTTTTAGTTGTCTTCTTGTTAACCCTCTTCATTGTTGGCAGGGGTCTGGTCAGTGTTTTTGCAATTGCAAGGCTTTGGAAGCCTCATGGCGCAGCCCCAAAATGTTATCCCATCCGGGGCAGAGTTCAAGACAGGGCCCTTCAGGGCCCCAAACTGGTAACTTTTCCGTGTGGTTTCCAGTCATCTCAGTCTCTTTACGTGGGCATGGGTCAAAACAAAACCACCAGGGGACCGCAGGTTTTAGTCTTTGGTTCCATTTGCCAGGGTTCCATTTTCGGTACGCATTTTTGACCCACAGCCACATGGTCACGGGACCTTTTCATCCACCCGCGCGCTCAGGAGCTGCTCAGCTCTGAGTGGGATGCCCACCGCGCCGGGATCCTGGATAGGACTTGGGGTTTGGTATGCTGGGGGCGTGTGGAAAGCGTGAAGTTCTTCCCTTGGTATCAGAAAAGTTGTTTCGCACCCGTGGAATGAGGGCGAAAAAGAAAAAAAAAGCCTTGGTGGTTGGGCTGGCGGTTGGGGGTCTATGTTTTCGATGCCGGGTTGTTTACTTGGTTTCAGCTTGCTCACTTCCGAAGGGTTTGTAGTTTATACTTTCTTGGCCAGACCATTTCAGTGGACAGTGAATAGCTTGGATTTGTTCCTGCCAATCCACTCAAAAAGTGAGTATGTGGAAGGGAACAAATATAAACCACATAGATAAACAGCCACCCAAAGCCACCAGTCTTGGGGAATGGAATTTCACCCAGCAGGTCAGCCCTGATTTCAGTTGAAGATCCTCCAGAAAAGATCGGAGATGGATAAGACACATCGCCTGTAAATTCATACCTGTCTTCCTAGGAAGCCGACGGCCCTTCATTTTCTAGGACCTTTTTTTGGACTTTTAGAGGGGGTTCTGAGCAAAGGATTCTGAGACCCCCGTCGAGTAAGGGGCAAACCCAATGTCCCGATTTTTGAGATTTACGTCAGCCCCGAAAAAAGAAAAAAATGATGTAAAAAGCGGATTCGCCAATGCCACAATCACATGCATAGTTGACCAATCAACTAAAGGGATTATGATTTTGGCTTCACAGGTGTGTGTGTGTGTGTGTCTTTCGGTGGACCCCCCTTTCGGTCGGCTTGAAAATAAAACCAACATGAGCACAAGCATAATGGGGGCCACTCTTTTTGAGACACACCTGGACATCTACATGCATGAAGGAAGTTGCCCAGACAAAAAAACAGAAAAAACAAAAACAAGTCAGGGAGTTGGGCTTCCTGGAAGGAATCCTGGAGAATTCTTACGCAGGATGCCGGTGAACGACAAGGAGATCGGCGGCGCCGAAACCCGTGCTGTGGGCGACTCCACCATCGACGGCGTGCCGAGCGGCGCCGGAAGCGGACCCGGGCCGATGATCGGCGGAGGGGCAAAGGACCTGCTGGATTTGAACGACTTGCTGGATGGGCCATCAGCAGGCACCGGGGGGGGGGGTGGTGATGTCAATGTAACATTATTGCGCAGGGGATCCCTTTCAATTCATCTGCAAAGCAAAGGTGCCCTTGTTCCCATGGCCACTGGAGGTCTTGGAAAGAGTATTTTGCCTAGAGTCATACTTTCTTTTTGTTGGTCAGTTTTCTTGTGCAAAGACGATGTGTCAAGCCTTTCACAACCGGAGCTTGCGGGGAGTAGATGTTTGACCCTCGATAGCCTTCTAACCCACTGGATGGGAGAGGAGGGACTGAGGATCTTTCATTTGGACTGGCCTTGTTTACCGCTTAGCCCATCAAGGGTGTAGGGGGGAAAGGCTGCTTAATCTTAGAGCAGAACCTATGTTGAAGGTGGATTTGGTGGAATGGTTGTAGTTGAGCTACAAGGGCTGGCTGTTTGGGGGGAATGGAGGGAGTAGAAGGCGTTCAATCTATTTCAACGCTTAGGGGAAACAATCTTTGGTCATGGAATTTCACGTTCCACCCTTTCACGGCGACGGGTTTATTGGCGGAAAGGGTTCATGTGGACCAAACTTTGTTTGGGTAGAGCCTTCTAGCCCTTGGTCAGATCACAGGCTTGGTCAGTCTATGGTCCAGTTGGGCTTTGGGGTAGTGGGGAAGAAGCCTTCGAGTAGAGTTAGAACGTTCGTGTGGGTTCCTGCTTTGTCCAAAAGCAAGCTTTGTTTGAAGTGTATGGTTTCTTGTGGTCGTTTCGTGCTTGTTTGCCAAACATGTTCAAGATTGAATGTTCAAACTCATTGGTGTTCAATCAGCAAGGAGAGGCAGCTTGCAAATTGGAGTAGGCACGGTCCATCAGCGTGACATCCTCCAAAACTGCACTTCTGAAGGAAAGCTACCGCTCCAGTCGTGCTAGCACATCACACCCTCTTTGGTGCTTGGTCTTTTAAAAGTCCAGGAATTTCCCAAGGACAATCTACCTGGACCCTGAGATCGCAACCCCAAAACCGGAAACCCGCTCTATTTGTGGTGTATCCCTCCCCTTGTTTTCGGGTTTGAGGGTCCAGGTCCTTCATTGCCCCAGGCCCGCCTGCCGGCGGCGTTCCGCCGACGACGGGTGGAGCTGGGGGTGGAGGTGGAGGCGGAGGCTGGAACTCGACTAAACAGGAGGGTGAGGGATAATCCCGTGTGCGGCCGCCTTCTTTGATTATTGTACATGGTAGGTATAAACCATTCAATATCAGTGTTTTGATTGTTACTAAGATTGACTTCGAATACTCACTTCCTGAGTTCCGTTTCGGACGTTAGTCACTGTTTGGGCTTGGGCCACTTTAGTGGTAAAATACAATTCGGACTTTTTCTGGCCAATCCACTCAGGAAGTGGGGCTTTTTCGGTAGCGTAGATAAATCAGACCAACCTCGTGTAGGGAAATGAGGTACTTTTGCGTGCCCCGAACTAGTGCAGTCCTCTTGATTCCTTTGAAGCAAGCGGAGCCCAGTTTTTCTCACTCCCTCGGATTCCCTAGCGGTCATGTTGGAAGATCATGTTGGAAGATGTTTTGTGACTCCAGTGCCTAGCATGTGGACCAAAGCACTTTTGTAGGGAACCCCTTCTTGGCTTGGTTTTAAAGGAACACCAAAAGGAAATCACACACATATTGAGGGTTCTCCGATTGTGAGACAGACCCAGTTTCCTTCGACGAATCGTGTTTTTGTTGGCGGGGGAGAACAAATCGGTTGGTTGGCATTGTCCCTTGGGAAAAGGGGCTCCAAAGTTCCGAAAGGAGACAGGATCTCCAGTGGTTGGTGTCCTTTCCTTGGAAGTTTCTCTGGCTCTGACATGGAACCCATTAAACGAGTCTTGAAAGCGGAGACCTTTGGTGTCATTATTTTGCCTTTCAAAAGTTGCTCTAGGGTCCTCGTGACCTTTGCGTTGGCTGGACCTCTTTATCGGGTTTGGATAAAGGCTGACCCTGGATTACATTAGGGGGGTGTCCCCCCACAAAAAGGGGACCACCCCATCTCTCAAGAGCAACAATTCCCACTTAGCTCCGGCCGGGGACACTTACTTTAGGAAGTCACACCACTTTTGAGACAAAGCACAGTACCCCTCCAGAACCCCAGCCGCCGCCCAAAAACATAGAGAATGGGACTTCCCCAGCCCCCCGGAAAAAAAAAAAGGACAACCCCCCCCTGCCCCCCCCCCGCAGAAACAATTGGAGAGTAGGACGATTTTGTTTAGCATTGATTTCTCCAACCCTCCCCCCCAAAAAAATACCATGGAGAATGCGACTACCCCAGCCCTTCCGCCGCCCCCCGTTTGGAGAACGGCTCACAGGCGACCTCTTGGACCTCCTCGGAGGCCCGGGCGGCCGAGCGCACTGGGTGGGGCAACCAAACCATGTGCTCCTCGCTTTAGGTCCCCGAAAAAGCGACCCCCCCCCCGAAAAAGCGACCTCGCCCACAAAAAGAGGCAGACCCAGATCTGAAGGATCTTCCAGAACGAGTTTTTTGTGGGTTGGTGGAATGTGAACCAGAATCTGAACATGCTGTTCTTGGGGTGTGCTCCAAAAGTGGGCCAAGATATCGTCTCCCGACACCTCCTTCCTCTTCTGTGTGCTCCATAGCCGAAATTGCTGTGAAACCAACAAACAATACACATGACAAGCACCTAGACAAAACCTTCAAAGGGATGGAGTCAGGGACTTCGTTCTGTTTTCTTCAGTATGTAAGGCGAACCCCAAACCTGCCACATCCAGCCATCAGATCCAGGCATGTGAGTCATGTTTTGGTTGATAGGAAAAAAAAACAAAGGGCAAAGATCCGCAGCTGTGGTTGAGACTGCTTTTTGCAGGATGGGTAATTGTTTGATATTCTAGACCCGCTATCCCTGATAAATCGGGTGCTGTTTCTCGTCTCAAAGGAAGACTGTTTGTTTGAATGGATCTGTCTACGAACAAACGGCCCTGGAATCCAGACGATCGTTGATTTGGGTGCACCTCGTCACGGGCTTGCTTTGGTTTGACCGGGGCTAAACCTTGTGCATCAATTTTGATCGGATGGGATCAACCCGTGTGGTGTGAACAAGGGGTGCCTCTTGAGAGCTCACTTGGCAGTCTGTTGCTGACGACATGTTTGCAGCTGTGGGCCGATAGAAGTTGTTGTTTTCCTTCGCGAAAAATGGGGATCATTCCACGTTTATAGAAACTATTATTGACGGGGTGTTGTTCCAGGGCGTCTGGTTTGGTCGAATGCTGTACTATTGATGGCCATTACTAACAAACGTCAGGGCAGGGGGGCCGACCCTGGAATTCCGTTTATACGTCCATGCTCATTCATTTTCCAGGGCGGTTTGCGCAAACCTTTTGAGCGTTTCCCACTGGCCAACAATCTGTCGCTTGACCATACTCTCCTCTCAGTCAATGTGAATCCTGAACAAGACATTTTGACCAAGTGTGCTCCAAATAGCAACCATCCTATTCAATTTCCCCCAAAACCGAAAGGAAATCGATTTGTTCTTGACTTTTCCAAGACATGCGCCCACCAGGCCGCGAAAGGTTTCTCCCTTTTTTCCATAGCAGCCCCCCTTCCAAAAGAAGAAAACACGTCCACCGGCCCGGGGTTCCCTGTTTGTTGGCATTCAACATCACCTTGGGGGCCATTTTGTATCGTGAGTTTGCTTGGCGGAGTGATGTGTCAAGGCGTTTGTTCCCCAGATAGCTGAAAGCTATAGGGGTTCTAACTTCCAATAAAGAAGGGAAAGTGATTTGCGAGCTTGAGGTCCGGGTGCTAGGGGGCATGCAGTTTGGGGTGCTGGTGGATGCTGTTTTGCGAGCTTGACGGTGCTAGTGGGCATCCAGCTTGGGCTGCTGGTGGAGGTGCCGCTTTGCGAGATTGACGGCCGGGTGCTGGCATGCAGTTTGGGGTGCTGGTGGATGCAGTTTTGCGAGCTTGACGGTGCTAGGGGGCATCCAGCTTGGGCTGCTGGTGGAGGTGCCGCTTTGCGAGATTGACGGCCGGGTGCATTCAGTTTGGGGTGCTGGTGGATGCTGTGCGAGCTTGACGGTGATAGCGGGCATCCAGCTTGGGCTTCTGGTGGAGGTGCCGCTTTGCGAGATTGACGGCCGGGTGCTGGCATGCAGTTTGGGGTGCTGGTGGATGCTGTTTTGCGAGCTTGACGGTGCTAGGGGGCATCCAGCTTGGGCTGCTGGTGGAGGTGCCGCTTTGCGAGATTGACGGCCGGGCGCTGGCGTGCAGTTTGGGGTGCTGGTGGAAGCGCCACGTGCTAGGGCATGCAGTTTGGCTGGTGACGGCCGGGTGCTAGGGGGCATGCTGTTTGGGGTGCTGGTGGATGCTGTTTATCCAGCTTGGGCTGCTGGTGGAGGTGCCGCTTTGCGAGATTGACGGCCATGCAGTTTGGGTGCTGGTGGACGCTGTTTTGCGAGCTTGACGGTGCTAGGGACGTTGTTGCTGCCCGAACTGTGGCGCGTAGTGGTTCGTGGCTGGTGTATCATCATGATGTTGGCGACCGCGTCATGATGCTGCTGGCATCGTCGTGGGTGCGGTGGCGCCATGGTGCTGTCAACAGCAGGATGATGCTGCATTTCATTACGCTGTTGCAAGATGATTTGTGGCTGTGGTATCATCATTCGCCTGCCTCTACCATCACAATGATGCTGTTCGCATCACCATGATGCTGCCGGCATCATCATGATGCTGTCCGTATCATCATGATACTGTTCGCGTCATCATGATGCTGTCGAACTCGTCAGGACGTCGTCTCTACCTTTTCCCGAATGCGTAGCAAAGGGTTCCCGTTTGTAAGTTGGGGTCTGGGGGCGGAGGCCGTGTTCGCGAGGAGTTGCTCCAGAGTTCGCAGCCGTCCGCAACCGTCCGCAACCGTTCGCAACCGTCCGCGGTGAGGCGGTAAGCGTGTGCCATTGGGATTTGTGGAAGCGTGTTTTTGATGGATCGGCAAGTGCTGTTTTCGTTGGCCCTGTGCGCGAATCGTAGCTTCTCGAAGCTCGACGTGTCGTTTCGCTGCGCAGGCGCAGTGTTTCACAGCAGTGGGATTTGCGATCCAGGGGTGGTCGCTTTGAGGTATCCTGCTTGGCAGGCGCGTGATAGTGTTTGCGCGAGTGTCATTTTCGTTGGCCCTGTCGTACAATCGGCTCGTTTTGGCGAGCCTGAAACATGTCAAAATAGGTCGAATTCATTCTGGCGCCACAGTCCCGTGCCAGTTTTCGATGCGTGTCGTAAACGTGTCAAAGTTGGACTTCGTGGCAGGTCTAGCAGTTTGGATGATTTTGAGTTTGTGGCAAGCTTGCTTTGCGTGACAGGCGCAGCACTTTCGAGCGTTTTGGTTGAATTTCGTGGCAGGAGCAGCACTTTGGAGCTTTTTGCGTGCAAATTTCGTGGCAGGCGCAGTACTTTGGCGCCTGGGTGTAGATTTCGTGGCAGGCGCGTCACTTTGACTGAGCGAGATCGCTCTCGCTGTGGCGCGGTGCGCATTTTGAGAACGCGAAGCGAACCTTCTGCGCGCTTTGGGTGGGTCAAATCGCTCTCGCTGTGGCGCGGTGCACATTTTGAGCGTGCGAAGCGAATCCTCTGCACACCTTGGTGGATCAAATCGCTCTCGCTGTGGCGCGGTGCGCATTTTGAGCATGCGAAGTGAACCTCTGCGCACTTTGGGTGGGTCGAATCGCTCTCGCTCTGGCGCGGTGCACATGTTGAGCGCGCAAACGAACCCTCTGCGCACTTTGGCTGGGTCGAATCGCTGTCGCTGTGGCGCGGTGCGCATTTGGAGACAGAAGTGTCGTACAGAAGTGTCGATCACAAGTGTCCATTAGAAGTGTCGTTCAGAAGTTTCGATTAGAAGTGTCGTTCAGAAGTGTCGATCAAAAGTGTCGCTCAGAAGTATCGGTCGGAAGTGTCGACAGAAGTGTTGCTCGGAAGTGTCGATCAGAAGTGTTGCTCAGAAGTGTCGATCAGAAGTGTCGAACAGAAGTGTTCCTCAGAAGTGTTGCTCAGACGTGTGCCTCAGAAATGTTGTCAGAAGTGTTGCGCAGAACTAGAGCTGTTGATCAGATCGGAAGTGTGGATCAGACGTGTTGCTCAGAAGTGTCAATCAGAAGTGTGGTTCAGAAGTATCGCCCAAAAGTGCCGCCCAGAAGTGTCAGTGAAAAGTGTTGCTCAGAAGCGTCGAACAGAACTGTTGCGCGGAAGTAAAGGCTGGAGGTGTTGCTCAGAGGCATCGCTCAGAAGTGTCGCTCGGGAGCGTCGCTCATGTCGCTGAGATATGTGTGTAGAAATGTTGCTCGAATTGTCGCTCAGATAGCAGTGTTGCTGGTTGTGTGTGGCTCAGACGTGTCGCTCAAAGGTGTTTTCAAGAAGTGTCGCTCAGGAGTGCCGCGCCGCGCAGTGTTGCCCAGAAGTGTTGTTCAGAGGTGTTGCTCAGAAGTGTCGCTCAAAAGCGTCACTTACATGTGTGTGTGTGTTTGCTCAGAAGTGTTGCTCGGAAGTGCTGTGTCGCGCAGAAGTGTCAGCCTGAAGTGTTGCTCAGCAGTGTCGCTCAGAAGTGTCAATTCAGCAGTGTTGCTCAGAAGTGTCGCTCAGAAGTGTCGATGGGCAGTGTGGATCAGAAGTGTTGGTCAGAAGTGTCGCTCAGAAGTGTAACTTCGAAGTGTAGAGCAGAAGTCTTGCTCAAAGGTGTTGCTCGGAAGTGTCGGCTGGAAGTGTTGCTCAGAAGTGTCGCTCAGAAGTGTTGCTCGGAAGTGTTTGAAAGAAATGTCGCTCAGAAGTTGCGATCAGAAGTGTGGGTGGGAAGTGTTGCTCAGAAGTGTTGATGAGAAGGGTTCCTCAAAAGTGTCGATCAGAAGTGTCGATCAGAAGTGTTGCTCAGAAGTGTTGCTCAGAAGTGTCAATTGAGCAGTGTTGCGCAGAAGTGTCGTTCAGAAGTGTCGATGAGCAGTGTGGGTCAGAAGTGTTGGTCAGAAGTGTTGCTCAGACCTTTCGATGAGAAGTGTGGATCAGAAGTGTTGGTCATCAGTGTCAATCAGAAGTGACCAGCAGTGTTGCTCCAACTGTCGATCAGAAGTGTCAATCAGAAGTGCGGATCAAAAGTGTTGCTCAGAAGTGTCGATCAGAAGTGTTGCTCAGAAAAGTCGATCAGAAAAAGTGTCACTCAGAAGTGTTGCTCAGAAGTGTCGATCAGAGAAAGTGTGGTTCAGAAGTGTTGATCAGGTGTCGCTTAAAAGTGTCGCTCAGAAGTGTCAATCAGAAGTGTTGCTCAGAAAAGTTGATCAGAACAAGTGTCGCTCAGAAGCGTTGCTCATAAGTGTCGATCAGAAAACGTGTGGTTCAGAAGTGTTGATCCGGTGTCACTCGAAAGTGTCGCTCAGAAGTGTCAATCAGAAGTGTTGCTCAAGAAGTCGATCCGAAAAAGTGTCGCTCAGAAGTGTGGCTCAGACGTGTCGATCAGAAAAAGTGCGGTTCAGAAGTGTTGATCAGGTGTCGCTCAGACGTGTCGCTCAGAAGTCTAGTGCGCGCTGGAAAATCGCAACTTTGTAGCGCAAGTGTAGCGCGCGAAGTACAGGTTTCTGGCAAAATCGCAACTTTGAAGTGCAAGTCTAGTGCACGAAGTACAGCTCCAGCTCGAAAATCGCAGCTTCGTAGACCGGTCTAAAGCGCGAAGTACAGGCTTCCAGCTCCAGCTGGAGAATCGCGACTTTGTAGTACAAGTCTAGTACGCGAAGCACAGGTACGCGAAGTCGAGCTCTAGCTGGAAATCACAACCTTGTAGCACAAGCCTAGCACACGAAGTGCAGGTTTCCAGCTCTAGCTGGAAAATCGTAACTTTGACAAGTCTATACGCGAAGTACCGGTTTCCAGCTCCAGATGGAAAATATCGACTTTGTTGCACAAGTCTAGCACGCGAAGTACAGGTTTCTAGCTCCACCTGGAAAATCGCGACTTTGTATATAGTACAAGTCCAGCACGCGAAGTACAGGTTTCCAGCTCCAGCTGGTAAATTGCGACTCTGTAGTACAAGTCTAACACGCAAAGTACAGGTTTCCAGCTCTGGCTGGAAAATCGCAACTTTGTAGTACCAGCTCTACCTGGAGAATCGCAACTTTGAAGTACCAGTCTAGTGCGCGAAGTGTGCAGGTTTCCAGCACTAGCTGGAAAGTCACAACTTTGTAGCGCAAGTATAGTACGTGAAGTACGTCTGTCCGCGCGTCTATTTAGCGCACCATGCTAAGTTGCTGTGGTATCACCATGATGCTGTCAACATCATGATGATGCTGTCAACATTATCATGCTGCCGCGGGAACCATTATGATGCTGCGTCATGTTTGTGGCTGTGGTGTGCTATCTGGGGTCTATGCTGGTGTATTTTGGTTTTTCCCGGGACCCCCCAAAATATTTGGAAGGCTTTCCCGTTGGTCGTCCTTCAAAACCACCTTAAAAAAAAGGGGGAACCCTCTAAAACAAGACGAAGCCGCGCAGATGAGGAGCCCTGTCCACAGGCCCCCCCTCAGCTCCGGGTCCCAGCGCCCCGGGCCCCGCCGCCGGCGGCGACGGCCTGCTGGACATCTTCAGCGGCGGCGCGCCGGCGGCGGCGGAGGCGCCACCCATGGTGGCCTATGAGAAGACGCTCCGAGAAAAAAGCAAAGAAACGCAAATGGTGAACTAGATCCCCCAGCTAGGTGCCCTTTCTCACCCTTTTTTGGTTGGGAGGGTTCCCCTACTAAACATAGACTACAGAGTAAAAGGGTACCCTTCATTCTAACCTCTCTACTCGAGGACCTAGTAAAGTAAGTACCGTCTCACCAGTTCACATGGAACTCCAGCACCCCCCCTGTCACGTTCCATGTGAATTGGTGGGAGGGTATCCCATATAAATCAAACCCAGGCATGTCTTTGTGTTTAGCGGGGAATCAGACCACTTTTGAAAATCAACATTGGTAACTACACAGAAAAAAGCTGATACCCTCCCGCCAGGGAACATGGAACCTGACGCTAGGACCCGGTCCCTTTAGGAGAATGGTCCAAGGCAGCACCCCCCGAATGTCAGATGTCATGTTCATTGGGAGGGTATCAACCCATGGAACACCTTCGGCTTCCCAGCCCCGAAGTTCTCAGCTTCGGTCACCTGGACTTCGGGGTGTTGGACTTCGGGGTGTTAGCGACCGGGGAAAACGCAGCCCACTTGGCCTGGAGGGTAAGCCCTGGGATTCCCATCACAACAGTGGGGTAAATACAACCGCCAGTGTTTACCCAGTTGTCAAACTAAGTTGGATGAGCCATTCTTTTAAACTCACCTCCTGAGTTCCTGGAGGTGAACTGTTTTTGGGACGACCATGTTGCCGGCAAAGAAAAAGTTTGGCCCATCCATTCAGGAAGTGAGTATAGAGAGGGGTCGCCTCCAACCAATCCACGGCGCCAAGAGGGAAGCTGATGGATTCGTCCGAGGAACGGCCTGAAGATCACCTTGTTCCCCCGCAAGGAGGCGGACGGCTCCGTGGTGGTGCTGGCTCCTTGGCCGGACGAAGCTGGGTCCTTCGTTCGGCGAGGCTGCGACCTCTTTGGACTTTGGTCGTTCCATTTTGATTTAGTCACGTGGCTCCCACAAGGGTTTTTGTTCGCCAGCTGCTTTCACATTGTATTTGTGGCCTTCTTGATTTGTGACAGTTGTTGCTTCTCGCGTTTGGCCAAACAAAAAGATGACCAAGCCTCGTTGAGCAATAGAAAGGGACCAAACTGCAAACGTTTTTCTCGGACATGTCTAGATCCGATTATTTGGGCCCTGATATCAGGGTGGCTTACGTTGCGTGAAAGCAGATGGCACAACTCCAACCCACTTTGGTTTAGAAACATAGGGAATTGTGCCAATTGATGTCACCAAGGAGTATTTGGACAGCATTTTTGAAGGTTGCTCTTCAGATCTCCCCCTGGTTTCTCAAAACCAAAACGGTTGAAGTTCAGCACTCTGTTTGTTCGCTTCCACGAAAATGAAAGTCCAAATCCTTGGGTTTCTGTGCCTTTTGTGCCCCGATGGCGGTGTGGTAATAAATGGCGGAGCGCAGTCCTTCAGAAAAGCCAGGGGTTTGGGCTAACTTCCTGTAGAACCTGTAGCTGGCTTCTTGGGATCATACCATCATACCCCTACGGCCCCTACGTGCCTTATTTTGCAAAACCTGGTTGTCATTGCGATTCGTCATACCATACCCGGAATTATAAAAAGAAAAAACTGATTTGGAGTAAGGAAGGACGGGTGATTCAGGTAGCCCTGAGTTGGTTGTTGGGATTGGGGGGAGCTGGGGATTTGGACCCTTGGTTCTTCTGAAATAAGGGCAACCACCCCGTCACGAAACCAAAGCACAGGGTTTGGTTCACGCGAGTTGGAAGGAAGCCGAGTTTTGGATAGTTTTGGAGCAAGGGAAGGGGTCATACGATGGATCGATGACCTAAATTTTGCAAGTAGACAAGTTTGAAACTCTGTAAACTAACCATGAACTCGTGGTTTCTGTTTTCTTGCTAAACAAGTTGGAAACTCTGACAACCACCCGTGGTTTTCGTGGTCTTTGTTGTCTTGCAAAAAATACATGGTGTTTTGGGCGGGGCGAACTTCCACCCTTTGCTGCGAGTCAATAGTCCGCTTCGTCTGAGGCTCGGTTCGCCAACTCCTTGAGCTGCCCTTTGACCAACTTCGTCTTCGAGGCGGCGGTGCCCAAGTACGTCACGCTGACCATGCAGCCGGCCACGGGACAGGCGACGCAGATCTCGTGCGGTGGTGAGCGCTCCTTCGGGGTCTTCTGCGGCGGTTCCCTGGGCGGGCGTTGTGTTTGTTTCTCGGGCAAACCCACTTGAAACGGGCCTAGAAGGTGATGTTAACCACCAAAGAGGGGCATATTATGTTTATTTGTTGTTGTTTGTTTGAGGCTCTCAGTCGCCAAAGAGTTTGGGACCCATATGGTTTTTGCTTGGTTGTGCTCATACGCTCTTGAGCGAAATAAATTTTCCTACCATGTTTCAACGTGGGTTTCATCATAATGTTGAACAAGTACAGGTTTCACACGGCTCGAAGACGCAACATGACCTGAACAAATGCTCATACGGGCAAATATTGAACGAACAAAATCACAGGAGAGATCTGGGTTTGTGTTTGTTTTAAACTGGCGCTCACCAAGTTGGACAGCTTTCATCTCCCACTGGGTATGACTTGTCAGCCCCTGACTAAAGGAGTAGGTGTGGACCATGAAAACGACAGTGGATGTTCTAATCTAAGTATATACCATCTAAAAGAAGCGGAAATTTGGAGTAGGGAACTACAAAGGAGAGGTCTTTCAAACATATGGTTTGAACATTGTCGTTCTGTTTCACGACCAGTTGGGGGCGATCAAAGTCAGAAGCCGAAGGTGGGTCTTCAGCCACTGAAGCCTTCGGGGGGTGGGTCCTGGATAACAGCATTGTTTACCACTGTTTGGCCGATCCCCACCCTCTCTCTCTGAGTTCATGGATTTTGAACTTTGTTGGAAGACTAGTGACTAGTGGTAAATAAACATTTCAGTTGCTTCTGGCCAATCCACTCGATGGGAAGTGGGGCCCTGACTTGCCATGTGCCCTTTTTCCTCGGCTTCGTCAGGTGCTGCCGCCCCAGAACGACATGGTCACCCAGACCATGAGCTGTGTGAACGCCACTGGCGGCGAAAAGGGCCTGCTCATGAAGCTCCGGCGACTCGGCCGACGGACTTGAAGTGGCTAAGACCAAAGTGGCGGGGTTTGATTTCCTAGATGGTGTCAGCTTCCCCCTGGCTGGTGGTTTGGTTTGGTGGTTTGGTGGTTTGGTGGTTTGGTTGTTTCTCTCTGGGGTTTAGTTTGTTTGGTTTGGAGGTGGGAGTTCAATTCCCCAAACCACCAATCCAAACCACCAATTATAGGGAACGCTGAGTATATGCGGACAATGGCATGTATACATGTATATATATATATATACATCTGGGTGTGTCTTTGATGAGGTTATTCTTATTTGTTTCGTTGGGAGGGGGGGCGCAGGAAAAAGCTACGTACAATCACATGCGGTTTCCGCATAGCTCCTGACGGTCCATGTCAGGGTAGGTCCCACTATTTTGACACAAACCGTGGAGCTGATGCGTGAATTTGTCCTGAGGCTGGTTTCTCGGATTCATTGGATATGTGGATAGATATGTATAGGGCAACACATCGCTGTTGTTGGGTGTTGACATGATATGTTTGATTTGTTGGTTTGCATTTGCTTGATTGGATATATCTAAACATGTGTACCACAATATATATATATATAGATATTTCTGTATAGCATGTGATTCATGGTCGAAGGGACATGTGTAGATGTATGTAGATTGAAGGTTGTGTGCCTTTGACTGAAGTTGAAGTGGCCGCAGGGCAAAGACAGACGCCTAGTCGCTGGCTTCAAAGGTTCCAATTGTTTCGGATCCACTCAGAGGTTACCGTTGGGGTATCCGCCTGGGCGATTTGTTTTGGTTGGGGGGGTGCAAATCAATTGCCCACAAGGATGCTGGCTCTTTCCCTTATGGCCGCTGGGGGTGTGGGTTGGGAAGTTGTTCATTTGCACAAAGACGAACGCTCAAATAAGGTTTGTTGTCGTTCTTTGGTCTTCATACTTGGCATATTTGGGGTAACTCCCCGGCTCATTTTTGTTGGAAGAAGCTCCCAACTGGGAAATCAATTGAATCTCTAAACTTATTATGCACTCCCAACACCCCAACCTTGGTCTCCATACTTGGACCGATTGGTGTAACTCCCCGGCTCATTTTTAATGGAAGAAGCTCCCAACGAGGAAATCAATTGAATCTCTAAACTTACTCTGCACTCCCAACACCCCCAAACAAAAAGCAAAAAAGGAACAAGTGGGCGGTGTCCTTTTGGTTCGGCCTAAACAAACCGGGTTAAGCAAAATACAATATGAAGTTTAGGGACTTCCGGTGCTCGGCGTCCGCGGCTCCGGAAGCCGAGGATCGGTTACGTCTGCAACGGCACCCCCGTCCAGGAAATGGCGCAGATCGGCGGCTTTCCTCCCGGCTACTAGGGGACGCGGAAGAAAAAGCGGCAGCCGTGCCGTCAAACCCCCTGGACCCTCAAGCTACCCTTTGCAGGGCAAATCGCCCCATTCGGGGTTGCAATGTCCCATTTTTAACGGTGGTTTGAGGGCTCAGGTGGATCCATGTGCCTGGTAGTCAAGGCACCACCCGAAAAAGGAAATGGCTAGTTACCTACAGGGCTAGCTGGGATCCTGTGATGTGATTTTCCCATCATCTCTTGAACTTTGTCGAAAACACATCCCCAGTAGAATTGGATGCCCTTTCTAGGCGTGCGTTACACACGGAAATCAGACTAACCACGGGGGAGTTTCCTTTGGTGGCCATGCCAACATGGCTTTCCTTTCGGTGATGTTTGAATGGGACACATAAGGAACCCCGAAACAAATGCGTGGGTTCCTTTTTTGTGTCAACTCGCAACCTCACAAAGGGCGACTGAACACCCAATTGGGAACCCTTCCTTTAGGGCCTGGAAATCACCTCAAGATCCTTCATCTTGTGGGATTGACAGATGATCTTGATCCTCCGCCAATGTCGGGCTTCATCTTTAGCTTGGGACGCCTCTGCGTTCGGCGCGTTGCGCAGTTTCGGTTTTGTGGCTTAGCAACACATCAAGCGAATAGCGGAGATGGTGACATAGCGACCAGCGCTTTCCGCTAACCGGGGAATTCATGAGGAGCCTGTAGAGTTGTAAGGCACGACCACCCGCGAAACAGTCGCAGCTGGAAGCACTGAGACTTTCTTCACCCACCGCGGGCTGCAAACGAAGGCATAGCTTTCGCTATGGAGGTGTGGGAAGGATTGTAGTCCATGTACCTACTCCCCGAGTTCTTGGACTTTATACTTTTTGGGAAGACCATGTTAGCAGCAAAAACAGAGCTTGGACTTTTTCTGGCCAATCCACTCGATCGGAAGTGTGCAAATCGGGGCTTCGTGATCCTTTGCCTTGCCATTTCACCTGGTTTTCCCATGTCTTTGCAGGCCTTTTGTGCTAAAAGCACTTAGTATTTCCTGATCCTTCGGTTGGATACGGTCAATGATCGGTTTCGCTAGTTGCCCAAGCCCGGCGCCGCATGGCGCGAGCCGCTCGGGCGCTCGGAGATGCCGTCGTGCGCCTCGGAGACTGGAGGGGCTCAGGGTATCCGAAGTTTTCTGCTCCTGGACTTCAGGCACTTCTTGGGCTTGGAGCACTTTAGCGGCACACAAACAGTTCGGTTACTTGTTTCATGGAATGTTTAGCTACCCCCTAGCCAACTACCCCCCCCCGGAAGTTAATTTGACTGAGCTAAAACAAGCCAACTCAGGAAGTGAGCCGCTGAGATGGGCCGATTGGGTAAAAGTTTGCTGACGCCAAGCCCAAAGTGTCCCTAATTTCCTCAGGTTGAATCTTCACATCCAGGATGTTGATGTTAGTAGTAGACAGAGCCCTTACTTTCGTGCAACGGTTTCATGGGTTAAGCATATATCTCGTGTGGAGGATGGGGAAAACAAGGGCTTTCATTCTATTGCGGGAGAGACCGCATGATGGACTGGTAGGGTGGCGGCCGGACATTTTTGGTTTGCTTTCCACCATTGTCCCTTTCAACCAGCAAACAAGCAACTGTTCGCAGGGGGTCCAGAGTCTATTTCTGGTCAAGTTCTGAGGCATCCTAGAGCAGCCTGCAAAAAACAGCATGCCACATTTGGTGGCGGTGTTGTGATGTCAACCCCTGACGAAAAAAGGAGGTATTTACCATGGACAACCAAGTTTGTCAAAACACTAAACAAGTAAGGTATTGCTAACATTGAAAACAAAGGGCGCGCCTGTGAATGCAGGTTCAGCTATTTCTCATCAATTAGGTAGTTTGCTTGCTTTTGGTTCCTGAATGCCAATATCCCCCTGTGTTAGCAAAACAACAGCGCAATATGTGTATGCTGTGTAGTTGGAACAAGCATCTTTTCCCAGCAAGCTACAGTCCAAAGATCCAACCAAATAGAAGCCAAGAACCAAGGACATGCTCAGCTATGGAGGTAGTGATGGCTTTTGTACTGCCAGTACAAGCTGGTAAGGCAGTATAAACCCCTTGCACAAGTGGCATGACACACAAACAAACCAGAGGTTTCATCTTCTATTTCAAGCCGATTCAGGGGTTGATTCCTTAGCGAACCCATCGCTCTATGTGGAAGGCCGCCTTCCCAGCTGTGGTTTTTTCCATTTGCCCGGATCCGAATGTTTGAACAATTACCTCACCCCGATTTCACTGGACTGGCAGCCGCACTGAGCACGGGACCAAGAAAAATGAACGCATCTTGAAAGCCAAGGCCTATGGTTGTCCTCTTTCAACTTGCATTGAGTTGTTTCTTTGTGTACAGAAACAACTTGCAGGTTGTTTCAAGAAGAAACCATTCAACCCGTAGCGCAAAAGGGGTCTGAGTCCACATGTTTTTTGTAAAGGATGCCTTTTCGGGGTACCATCTTAACCTGCAGAGTATTGAAAGTTGCTCTTTCGGGCGTGTCTTTTTTTTACACCCCCCCCCCAAAAAAAGAAACAAAACATGTTCTTCCTTGTTTTTTTCCCTTTACAGCAAAACACGTGGCATTTTCCACCTCCCAAAAAAGGACGGGGGGCCGCCAATTCTTGGGGAGGGCTGTGCGAGGCAAGCGCCGCTTCGCCTGGGACTCGGAGTCCGGAAGTGGCGAACAGAGCGAGCGGAGCAGCGAGGAGGACTCCGAGGCGCGCTGAGTTCTTCCTCCAGTTTGGTGGTGGTTTCCCCCCAATTGTCCTTGGTGCATTTTGCCAAGGGAGTTAGGACCTTAACTGTTTGCGAACTAGTGGGTGTTCCGTATGAAACCACTAAAAGTTATATTAAAAACAAAAGAACAGGGGAGCAAAAAGCAACCGAGTTTTCATGGCTTCCCTTCCAACCAAAAGCCGGGAAAAAGAAGGACTTTTTGTCCTTTTTTTTTGTGGCGTCTTTTCCCTTTTTTGGACTTCCCTCCAAATTATGTGTGTTTCTTTCCTTTTGTGGCCTCCCTTCTAACAAAAACCAGGAACACAGAAGGGGTACCAGCTCCAAAAACAAGACGGGCCCACTTTGTGGCTGGTTCTGGGCTTACGGCGTACGGATCTTTACGGATCTTTTGAAACTATGGGCTTGGGAGGGTCATGCCCACGTTACCTATCCTAAGAACAGTCAATGTTAACCTAAGCAGAACCCCCTGGTTGATTTTGATTGGGGGGTGTTCCCTTTTAGTGTGGATCTGGATCACTTTTGGGAATTCCCAAACAAGCAAACCAGCAAGCCGGCCGGGGGGGGTCCATGCACCAGTGTGTCCAACTGAGCGGGGGATGACCATTCAAGCACCTACCGACGGATCGCATACGAGCAAAATGGGGGAGGGGCGGGGGGGGTCTTTCTCTCACGAAGCTAAAGTGACATCCTCAAACTTACCAAGTCTCCAAATGTGTTGAACTTTGGAACTGAAGCCACCCCAACAGCAAGTTAGAGAACCCTCACTATGTTCACTTCAAGGGACCAGCCGTTGGATCTTTCTCCATCCGGTGTCTCCTAACATGTCTGAAAGTACAATATGTGTGAACTATATGCATATAAATGTACGAAACACATTTTAAGAATAACACATTAGAAGTACAATATTACTTATTTTTAATAGTCAAATTGAAAGCATATTCTGAACATCTTGTATTTTCTGTGCAACTGCAGATGTGGGCCAAGCCATGGGCTTGGCCCACGCATGAGGTTCACTAGTTTGGAAGGCACCTTGTGCTTCCAGGCCGGCCGCTATAGTAGGTAGCCAGCCAGGTTTACACTTGTTTTAATGATGATGTCCCCTAGCAATTTCCCCTAGCAATTGGAAGCGGTGAATCATTACTTTTGGAATAATATGTTTGGATTGCCAGAGTCTGACCGGCATATCCAATGATTCTCAATGAGTGAGACTCTCATGTCATTTCCTTTGGGAGGCACCCTTTAACGCGGAAGGGGGTTGGAAAGCCTCATTTTCTTTACTCCCTGATTGTTTGGTTGCCTTCGTTTGGGTACTGTGGAATTTGGTACCTTTTTTAATAACAAATACAAGTTACGTGAAACTCCTGCCGGCGGCAGTTGTTTCAAACGCGAACGGGCTCACCTTGATGCAAGACAAGATTGGGCCGCATTCACGAGGCGAGCCCTTATTTCAGGTTGTCGATAGTATCTTACCCTGCTGTGAAAGCCAGCTCTCCTTTTGCACTGATACAAAGAGGCAAATCTTGCCGCCCGCTCGACGAAACTTACCTGGCTGCGGGTCAAAACCAATGGTGGTGAATTCACCACCCATTTTAGAACCTATTTTAGTGGCTGGATTGAATCGGATGTTCACTGAGGGGTATTTGGATTTTCATGGCCACCTGTTTTTTGCCGCCCGCTCGACCCAACTTGCCTGCCCTTGTCTTTGCCCCAGAAAGGGCTCTTTAAGGAAGCCCGCAAAAAGATCGCAAATCTGAGCGGAGGCTGAGGATGTGGTGGGCTGGGAATCTCAGAAGGTCGTAGAGATCCACACGCAGGCAGGGCCATTGGGATCAGCCAGGGCTTGCCCGCTTTGGGTAGGCAAACAAACCAAGAATATATACATACTATCATACATGTGTATATATATATATGTATATATAGATATATGTGATTATGTGTATATATATATAATACACGTTAACACCACATTCACCACGGTCAGACGGCATGACCATTTCCAAAGCATGCCCTGCTCCTTGGCGTCGTGTTGTAACTTTTGTTCTCGGAAGGATGCCCGATTGAACACCAACACACACCCCTTTTTTTTGGTCCATGGAGGTCCGAGCTTTGAGGGCCAGCGGCTCTTTTTTCGGCAGAACTCGGTTGTTGGAGTCATCCACCCGGGGTGTGTATGTAGCCCTGCTGAGAAACCATAGCACCCCATATATGGGTTGCTTACAATCGCCGTCTTTTGGATATATAGTGCACTTTCACATGAGAACAGCTCCTGCTCCGTCCTTGTGGTGGACGCTTGAGCTGACTAAAGTCACTTCGAAAGTAGCAATCCCAAGCCTGGTGGAACAACGAAATAAAAGGCTTGAACTCTATGCAAGGAACCCTTCTACCAAGATAGTTTGTCATGTCCTCTGAGGTTGTGACTTGCTGGGATCAAGGTTCGATGGCAAGCTTCTCAGTTTTGGCGCCGGCTTGCCTTACGAGAAACCAGCCGGACTCGGAACTGACCATCACAGAGAAGGCCGCATGCAACCGGCGCAATTTTGATTGCGATCAAAGCGAAGCTTTGGAATCACTGGAGGTGGATTTTGGAGGGGCCCGAGGTTTCCCAAGTGCCAATCCCTCTTGCAAGGAACCACCACTCAGTTGCCCAAAGCGAATCGAGCGGTTGACCTTTGTGCTCTGAGTTGGTCCATCTTTTCGTCATGGCCCAAAAAGTCTATTTTTTTTTTTAATGGTCATGTCCTTTGGGCAACTGAGACCAAAGAGACCCACCAGAAGTGCTTTTCCTTATCTATTTGGTTCGCAGGGATGGCCCCTGATCGGCCTCTGCAAATCGAGCCAATGTAAAGGTTTTTGAGGGAGCGAAACGACGACACGTCGCACACTTTGGGAGTTTTCGCATGGCCAGGTGTGCCCAAGTGCTGAGTATTTTCAGCTCAGAGAGCAGTCCGCCAAAGACGAGGCAAAGGAGGCAAGTGGCAAGTGAGCTGACATGAGCTGAGAGTTTGTGCCACAGCAGATGGGGAAGGGGCAGGTCCACCCTAGTAATTATATATATATATACATGTACATATCATGATACACGCTTTTTGCATGGTTGGATATGTGTGGACACAGGGCTTTCTCAAACTAGGGCTGTTTGGTTTCCTTTTGGGTTCCCTATAGAACCGAGAGCGGTTCCCCCCAAAAAGCCTCTTATGAATCGCTTGAATGTTGGCCCCTGGCAAATAAACGGAGGTATGTGCAATTGAAACACCAACTTTTTCCAAAAATGCCCCCCCCCCCCAAAAAAAAGCGCACAAAGAAACAAACAAACACAAACGCAACCACAAACCTATGATTATGGTATTTGGAGCATTGCGGGAGTGGGGCTCCCTTTCGCGATTTCCCCGGTGGAAACCACTCGCCGCAAGGCGGCCGCGCCCTCGGCGGCCGCGCCCTCGGCTGCGGCCCAGCGCGGGGCCTTGGCCGTGGAGCGGCGCCGGCGACGGCTGACGGAGCTGCGAGGCGCTGCGCCGTCGGCGGGGGGCGGTTTGCGCTGACGTCTCCCGTTGCGATTCCCTTTGAGGCCAACCAGAAGGGGTACCCCTCAAGAAACATCGACCCCAAATGGTGGAAGGGCGAACCCTTCTTTTCGGGGTCATTTGGGGAAGTGAGTGTGGCATGGATTTTGGGTGTTTTTTTTTGGCAGCCCTGCACTGCCACCAAAACTTAGAACCAAGAGCTTAAAAACCATGCTAAGATCAGTGGAGATACCGGTATGGGATATTTTGGACCCCCAAAATGGTGCTCGCCCTTTTGTGTCCTTTGAAAACCCCAAAAGAAGGTGCCTCAAAAGAACACACACTACTTGACTAGAGCTTCCAGACTTTGGTCGGGACTCCTTGGCAAAGATTTGAACCTCATGGAGTTCCCGCCTTGATACTCGTCTCTTATTGGCTCTCCCAAAGAGGCTTGCTGATGGGCGTCTTTGCTTGATGATACGGTTGGTGGGGTTGGCTTAAAGGGGAAACAAGCACGGGTTTGATTCCTATATTCAGCCTGAACAGGCAACACAGGATTTGTTTTTTCTTCTTGTTCTTCCGTTTTTTTTGTTTGTTCTTCTTCTTGCAAGTCTTGCAACACCTTTTCTGCAACTTGGTGGAAGGAAAGTGCTAGTTGAATTTGGGCAGTCTCCAATAAAAACACAAAAAAAATACAAAAAACAAAACACAAGAACACAAGAACAGAGAGAGAGAGCGGTTTGTTGCAATGACACGCTGGTTGAGGGAGCAAGAAGAATGGCGGAAGAAAGACAAGAAAAGTTGAGAGCTGGTATGAACCAATGTCCCACTCTTGGAAAAATGTCAAGGCTAGTTCCCGGCAAACTCTCGGAAGGAGCACTAAGCACTTCACTGTTGGCAGGCGTTGTAGTTGTTTGTCTTTTGGTGTCCCTTTTCTTGGCAGCTTGCCTTTGAAGTTGAGTGTTCGATTCTGATCATGTTTAGTCGGGTGCTATCTTTTGGCTTCACATGTTGATGGTTTGGATTGCAAGGTACACTTATGTCCTTCTGGTTTTTTTCCCCCAGTCAAAACTTTTGAGGTCTTTGTGCCAGGCAGGCTTGTAGGGGAAGCCAGACAGGAACCCCCCGGCTGGGCGGCAAAAGACTGGCCATAAAAAAAAAAAATCTGGGTGAGACGAATGTGCTTTGGGCATCTCACGCCTGGGTTCCCGGGTCAGCAAACAAGTCACACTGGTTGCTAGTCAGTGGGGAGCAAGGTCAAATGTCACTAGCGTATGTGAAGGATATTTTTTTGACTATGCTGCCTACTACCACGGGGGGAGAGCGAAGCCTTCAAATATGGTATGGTTCCACCAAACAGTGGCTTTGAAGGTGGTTAGTCATTTTGTTCAACCCCTTCTATTCAGTTCCTGAGTGGGTTGGACCAAACAAGACCTGGACTCTTTTCTGATGATTATATACTTTGGTTGCCCTTGCGCTCAACCGAAGAAAGCAATTTCGCCACCTTCAACACATGTAGTTGCATAACAGACTGGGAACCCCTTGACACCGAAACTTTGCTGTTCTTTTCGGGTTTCTGTTTGTTTGTTTGGTTGTTGTGTCTGTTCATTATTGTTGGTCTCCAAAAAGCAGAGTGGTTGTTGGGATGCCAAGGTTTGGGAAGACCCCCAATTGAAGTCTTGGTGCGGCCTGATCCTTGACTGAGATAGCCCCCTTGTAGCCGCCTTGAGGTTCATGCAACCAGGAGGTTTCATTTATTGTGAGGATCAATCAGTTAGCACGTGGACCCCTAATTGCGGCCCGCCCATGTCCTAAAACATATCCAGATGTGTACCTATTGTTCCAAAGCCATGAAAATTGAAGGTTGGTGCCCAAAACTTCCAGTTTTTCAAAGTAAAGTGTATTGTCATGGGATTTTCCCGGGCCTTTGGTGGGCCCGGGCTGTGTACCCGGATGCCCGCGGCAGGCGCTTCGAGGGCATCGGCGCTGGCCGAGGCGGCGGCGCAGCTGCGGGGCCGCGGCTTCGCGTCTCGGCACGGATCCACGTTTTGTCTTGGAGTTGTTTGTTGTGTTTTATTTTATGTTTTTTGTTTGTTGTGATTGTTTGTTTGTTTGTTTTTTTTGTTTGGGGGGGGGGGCGCGGGGGCCCAGAAGAAGAAACATGGGACTTCATGTGAGTTGTTGCATGTTTGTGTGGGTTCTATGTTAGTTTGCTTTTTTTTTCAGTTGGTATCCCCTGCAATCTAACATGGAACATGGAACCCAGAAAAGGGGTGAAGGGATCCGATTCCAAAGCAAGCTTCTTCCAGGAACGGGTGTTTTTTTTGGGGTTCCATTAGTTCTGGGGAGTAATATGGAGAGTTTGATTTGCATGATAAACGTCACTGATTTTGAGTCAGGGGTTCACATGATACTCACTTGCAACCGGACAGTGGGGCAGAGCACAAGGAAAGGAGGTATGTGTCACTAAAAAGCTTGAGGCCGGGGGGGGGGGGTCCGTCCACTTGCCCAAAGCGGATTGACCTTTTAAGCTTTTGATTTAATTTCCAGATTTGGTCATATTTAGTCAAGGTTCCAAAAGGTTATCATTTTGCTTCCTGGTGCTTTGGGCAAGTGACTCCAAAGATGCCCTAACAAAGGCGGTGTGCGTTTTTCTTCTACTTTGGGGTAGCCTCAGTGTCCCCAAGCGAAGCGCCCGGATCTGACCGTTCCCTCAGTGGTGTCAAAAGGCTAACCTACTTCAGTGTCCTTGGGGCTACTGGGTCAAACAACCACAGCCTCTAATTGGAGGTTGTCTTCTTTCGGGGCACCACTTCTTATTTGTGTCACGCTCCAAAACTCGAGTAAAGCCATGGAACTCTACGACTTGGTGGTTTTCCTTTTGGTTTTGCCTTCAAAATTCAACCCGAAGAAGCAGGATTCTGGAAATTGGCACTAGGGAAGGTCTTTTAAATGGGCTCATTTTGAGGGGACTGGTGCAGAAGTGAAAAGCCCCCCATTCCCACTGCTTGCAACCACCTCATTCAACCCGTGCAACCACCCTGGGAAGTTTGATTAAGAAAAGCAGGAGAGGGCTAACCTAGGCAAAGGGCAGGTCCCCTCTTCAATTCCTTTGCCAAGTTTCCCAACTGATTCTCTGCTTCAAAACCTCTCAACCTTCTTGGGGCCTGCAAACATCAGATTGTCCACCTTCACTGTCATTTGCACATGTAAGATGTTTTCGTTTGTAGATCTGTTCCTTCTTTTGGGGGAGCTGCAAAAAGACAAATTTCGTTGCTGCCATACTGGGTTTGGGATACTATGATGGGTTTCCTTTCGCACAGTCCGAAAAAGGTCCAGTCAAAGTATCACCTCTCAATTTGATGTAGAGCATTCAAATTCTTGTAGATACATCCTGCTCAGAACAGAACAATTGTCGGACCCTTCCGCCTCGCAGCGTGTTTCAGTTCCGAGCCGAAGACAAGTTACTTCGAAGGGGCGTTGAGCAAATGCACATGGCCATGATTAAAACCCAATCAAATCCCATTTTGGGGTAGGTGTATCACCCATTTTAGAACCTATTTTGGTGGTTAGATTGAATCGCATGTTCACTGGGGGTACGGGGTCTTGACCCATGGCCACATTCGCCAGGTGGTTTGGGACCACTTCCTGGGCGCCGCTGAATCGCTGCTGCCCCTCCTTGCGCGGAGCGACTGGCGCCCCGGGCGCCTCGGGGACGCACTCAGCACGCGGGCCCGGCGAGTTGTTTTGTTTTTGTTTGTTTTGGCACGCGGCAGCGCAAGTGCTGCAAGATGTTTCCAAAGGGCAGAGTTTTCTCATAGGAGTTCAATCCTTTTTCTTGCTTTTGTTTCTCTTTCAAAGGGCCGTTGTTGCCAATGGCGTTGCTTAGAGTTTGCCCTTTCTGGGAGAAAGGGATTTCTTTTTCCTCTTGTTGGGCAAAAGGGCTGGCTTTCCCCTTGGGTCTAGATTCGGTACCGTTGTTTCATGTTCGCCGACAAAATGATGACTCTCGTGGCGGATGATGGTTTGGGGTGGTGTCTCTCCAGCACGGAAGGCTGAACAACAAGTCGTACTGCTCGCGCGTTGTTTTTTGGCTCAGGGCATGCGAGCGGCTTGCCTTGCCGCAGCTTTCTTCTTAGGCTCCATGTCTATTGGACCACAAAGACGACAAACCCATGGTGGGGGTGTTTCACAAGAGTGGCATGTTTTTGTTTCTTTTTTTCTGGTGTTCAACAAGAAGTCGCATGTATGGGCCCCCATGTTTTTGCAGTCTTTAAAAGGTTTGCGCTTGCGCAAAGAAGACGTTCATCGATGTGGGTGCAAAAAAAACGGAGCTTGCCCGGCTTAGGACCTTCGCTCGCTTGAATCCGAGCATTGGCAGTCTCCGTTCCATGTTCCTGGACTTCAGAGCACCTTTTTGCTTGACTGCGGTTGGGTTGGATCTTTAGACTGTAACTATCTTTAACTTTTTGGTGGAAATAAAGTTGTGTTTTCCACTAAACCCCCAAAAAGCTGTTCATTTTTTGCAGGGGGGTCGTTGCAGCAACCAAGTTTGGTGGTTCAGGCGTTGGCCAATCCACTCGATCAGTACACAGAAAGAGAAGAAACCTCCCATCAGCCCATGGCCAGTGGGGACCCCAAATCTCTAGCCGCGCCATGGATGCAGAGGGCTCGCTCACAGAGGACTGTCTCAACTGATCCGGAGGTGAAACAGGAAGCTGCTGAAATGGGATTCGAGGGTGAAAGGGATACCAAGATGCACTCGGATGTAACTATCATTCATAGTGGGAGCCCTGGATTAAGCAACTGGTTGATTGTCCCCTTGGGGACCCTGGATTAAAGAACTGGTTGATTGTGTTTTTTTTGGGGTCTCGTCAACTTGTGGCGGGGAACACCCTCTATTTATTCATCCGTGGGCGATGCACACTTTATTCCTTGCAACCAGCCACATGTTCTCTGCGTGCAGAGGGCTCAGTTTAAAGACGTCCTTCTTTCTGGACATGTACGAGCACGCCCTCTGTTTGCTTTGGCAGCGATTTTCTCTCAGAATGGAACTCAAAGCTCCAAGCCACCAGGATCTTTGAACTTGAGCCGGGCGTTCCCTCTTTCGCAAACCAAGCACCGGATCAGAGCAACCCGGGCGAGACACGGGCATTTTTGAGGCTACCTTGTTGCTACAGGTTTCACAAAAAATCGCGCGGGAAGAAGGCGCTCAGCTGCGCCCCATGCCATGAGATTCTTCTCGGGCAGCAGATTTAAAATCTCTCTTTGGGGTGAGGAGTTTCAATATCCTGGTGATTCCATTTTCCTGGGTTTGTATGTTACCAATACTCACTGGTCCAAAGCCGACTTTTTGGACCTAGTCTGTGTTGCTAAAGCGAGAATAGAACCACTGTTGAAACGAGGAGAGCGGCGAAGGCTTACCTCATATTCAGGCAAAATGACTCACGCACTGGGACCACCCCCAAAGCACTTTGCGTGCCGTAAGACCAATGAGTTGAGGAGGAGCTGGGAGCGGTGTACTTGGAACTGGAAAGATGCCTGGCTGCTATTGGGTTCGATCTTTGAGTCATGGGTCCCTTAGTTGCCCCCGTCTTTGGAGCTCAAGTGGTTTTCTCTTTTCAATGGAAGCCACAGTAAAATGATCACCTTTTGAAGGGGAAAATCTGGAATCGACTCCCTGCGAGTCGCTGTCGACTCTTCCCACAGCAAGAAGTGTTTTTGTTTCCCTTCTTCCTCTCCTCTCAGACTGGTATCTCTGCCAACAGCAATGCGGGAGCAAACAATGACACACTGTTTGGGCAAGGAGCACTCGCCACCAAGGGGTTTCTTAAACCTACCTAACACTCTAGGGGTTGATTCTCCATTCTTTTCAGCCATCGTTCTTTTCAATAACCAGCCATTTCCCCAGTGTTTTTTTTGTGGTTTTCTAGAAAGAAGGATGCCTGGAAAGAATGGGGAAGTTACCCCTAGAAACACTTTTACGATCTGCAATTTGAGACAGGCATCCAAAACCACTGGAGCTTGTATAGCCAAATCGCTTGCCCAAAGCCAACCTTTTAACCTTGTTGTTCCCCTGTCCATGTTTAGTGGTTCCAAAAGGTGACCACTTGTGTTATTTCCAGTTAGAGTAACAGCAAAGGGCTCCACGATTTTTGCAGGAAGGTCCCATCAAACAATCCCATCAAAGGCACTCGGGGGGCCCGCGGGCATTCGCCAAGGATGGGGGAAGTGCGTGGGTTTGTACATCCACGGGTCCACCATCTTCTCCAACGCACCGCCCAAGGACCTGGATATGAGCCATGGCGGAGATGGGTGCCCGAAACGGTTCCGTTTCTACGAGCCCACAGCTAAAGCCCAGCGGGTTTCGATTTCCTAAAAGAATCTCTGGGTTCATCCAGAAGTGGAGTGCCTTCAAATAGACGATCTTGGGCATACGAAATGGGTGTGTCTCTTTTTAGAGGTGCCTTTTGTGTTGTTTCAAAGGGAAGCAGAAGGAACCACCAATTTAGAGGGTCCTAATCCTTTTTGAGACAAAATCAGAAAGTATGATGTTTGGTATACCCCCAAGTTGGGCCGAGTCTTAAACTGGTCCCAAAGGTCCTCGCGACCCCCAACGACAAACCGGCCGTATGGTGTGTATTCGTGTTGAGGCTCGCTGCCCATTTCATGGTTGGAGTAAAGGAAGCCAAAAGGAAGTTGGTAGCTCGCTTCGTAAAGACACACGCGCACCCTGCAGGGGTTGTTCCCTTCAGAAATAGTTGGCTGCTCGGGCAACCAGGGCTTTCTTTGGAGTTTTCCCACCAAACAGGTGAAACGGACGAGTTTTGATACTCGGGGTCCCCGCCCCCTTCAAAGGCTCCATCCGACCCTGATCAGAACTCCTGGATCAGAAAAGTTTCTTTTTGTTCGACCCGTTCCATGCGTACAGGGAATCAGGAAAAGCCAGCGCAGGGGCAGGGGAAAGGGGTAAAAGCTCGTTCGAAGCTTAGACCAGGTGACCAAAAAGATCGCTTGCGTGCCTCTTGTTTTTGCAATGCCAAATGCCAAGTCGGTACTTTGCCTATCAGCGTACACTCCTGGGTCCTCCGTCTCCGGGTTATTTCTCTGTTTTTCCGTTCTCTGGGATATTTCCAGCAGACCCTCTGAAAACTAGGAGTTTCAGGCTTCAGGAGTGGCTTGCAAAAGGCAGGAGTGAACATCAAAAACTAGGAGTGGTTCTTGGGGGAAACAATTGGATTCAAGTTTTGTTGTCTTTTTTCGTTGTTTGGGCGCGCAATTGTGCAACTCTGTACACTATCCCAGCAACTATGCAACTCTGCACTGGAGTATTCCACTGATTTTACTACGCACACTCCGGAAACTCCGTCTTTTTTTGATTTGCGGGAGTTTGCGGGTTTTTGTGGGATTTTGCGGGCTTTTTGCGGGTGTTTTGCGCTGAGTTTCAGGTGTGGTGCCTTCCGGTTTTGCCAATTTGTCGCCCAAAGGCAATAATTCCGAATTCAGAATAATTCTGAATTCTGAATGAATAATTCTGATTCAGGTGAACGATTCTGATTCAGGTGAATGATTCTGATTCAGAATATGTCTGATGTGGAGAGTTCCTTCCGTCAAGTACCGAATAATTGCGATTTCTAGAAGTTTCAGGTGTGCAAACCATTTCCAGAAGCGAGAATCAATTTCTAGGAGTTTTACCTCAAAAACCAGGAGTTTGAAAACTCCGTGTTTTTTCACTGAGACCCTCAAAAAACTGGTAGTCTCCGGATTTTACGTGAAATGTCCATTATTTGGAAGATCCAGGCTAGTATAGAACGCTGCGAATTTCAGAAAACGGACGCGAAATTCAGACAAACAAAGTTCGGAAAACACGAAGACAAAATTCAGAAAACACCGGGGCGAAATTCAGACAAACACCAGCGCGGAATTCAAGCGACATTGAGAAAACAACGGCGAAATTCGGAAAGCAAGCGCTGGTCTGCACAAGCAAGTACGCCGTTCACGGTTGGGACGGTCGGGACGCTCGAGGACGGTGAGGACGGTCGGGCCCTTGGGACGGTCTGGACGCTGGGGATGGTGGGGACCGTCGGGACGCTGTCGGGACGGTCGGGACGATCTGGGCGGTTGGAATGGTCGGGGCGCTCGAGGATGGTGGGGACGGTCGGGACGCTTGGGACGGTCTGGCGGGGACCGTCGGGATGGTCGGGGCTGTCGGAACGGTCGGGACGGTCGGGATGATCTGGGCGGTCGGGATGGTCGGGACGGTTGGGATGGTCGGGACGGTCGGCATGGTGGGGACGGTCGGGACGGATGGTCGTGATGGTCGGGACGGTTGGGACGGCTGAGAGCTTGGGTTGGCCGAGTGTCTCTAAATAAATTCTTTCGAGCTTGGGCGTTCTGGCGTGCAAGCAGCTGGGCCTCTGCTTTTGAAAGGGTCTGGAGACGTTCGAGGGGCGTGCTGTGTCCAAGGCAGACATTTGTTCAAGGCTTATAGAGATGTTTATCGAGGTTGGCAAAACGGTTGGAGCATTTGCTGGCGGTTGAAGTGCTGCCTAGGGTTGAGGAATGAAGTACCGGATTATTCCTGTCAAAGAGCATCATAGGGCTTGGTCTCACAATCGGTCAGTCTGTCGCAAGAGCATCAGCACTCTCCGATGAAAAGGGAGACACGACATCATCGAGGGGTTCTCCTGGGCTCGGCGTGGAGGGGCCTACATGGGCCTACCGTGCT